CCCCCCCCCCCCCTAAAAAGAGGCAAACACGCTTAAACGCTTAGTTCCAAATGACACATAAGATAAGACAGAGAGTCCCGGACTCGACGAAACAAAACACAAAACACAAAACACGACAATATTATCAAGTACCCCCAAATCCATCATAACCTCCTATAGCAATAACCAACTATAGTAGATAGAAACATACTTCGTACGTACAGAACCTATAACATACATACATATAGAGACCAAACATAAAAACCAAAAATCCCCATACATCAAAACCACACCACCATATCCAGAAAAACAAAAACAACCATCATATCATATCACAAAATACCCAACAATCGCAATCTCTACGCGCACCATCACCACTCACTCAGTCCCAAACTCCCCAGCCACAACTGTGAAATAAAATAAAAACAAAAACAAAAACAAAAAAAAGGCAAAAAGAATGAGGAAAAGATGCAGCTCAGCCTCAAACCTGAAACATGACGTATGCGGCGCGCGGGAACCATCTTCCTTAATTATCCTTTTCTGCTGAACTTTGCTTGAGATCGACCGGGGATAGTAGCTTTTGTTTTCTTTGCTTTCTTTTTCTTTTTGCGTTATGGTATGATGTATTAGCATCTGTTATTATAATATTGGGTTTTATTGTCTGTCCTTTTTTTATTTTCTTTTTCTGGTTCTCTTTGGCATGGGGCGTTTGGGTTGGGAGATGATGGTTGTGTAGATTTTATGATGTCATTCGAGGGTTTGGGGGCTTTGGGGATCTTTGGATTAAGGGGGGTTTTTCTTTTCCTTTTTTTTTATAATGATTTTTTTATTTATTTATTTGGTTTTGATATTATTGTATAGTTTGGGGTAAAATCTATTATGGGCGTGGCTGAGATGGTGCTAGTATAGTCTAGTACTAGGGACGGAGTGTTTAGGTAGGTGGTTGAGATTGGGGATTATTGTGGCGTTTGAGGCTTTTTTTGACTATCCATCGGCTTGGGACATACGATCGTACTAGTAGTAAGGTCAGATCTGGTGTTAGGTTGGGTGTTGGTGGAAGGGGGAAGCTTGGTATCAGCAACTACTCCCTACACAACTTACGGCATATATTACACAAGAGGGGAAAAACAGTATATCAGTATCTCTGTATTCAATCAAACCGCTCGCTTCTGGGTATGTTTAAGCAAATGTCTTCAAAGCCAAACAATATCAAGCTGAATCGTCAGACCGGGACGATCCCAATGTACACGATAATCATGATGTTGAAATAGAAAACAAACAAAACAACGGGCTGCTCCGTGAAAATGCTTCCTCTCCCCGCCTCGCCTTTTTGCAAGCCATGAGAACAAATGCGCCCAGTGCGGTTTCCTGTCGAATCAATCAAACAAGTCTAATAGGTAATCCCCAGTAATTTCCGAACGCCGAGCGTGCTATGTATGCCACAAGTACAGATTGCCTCCCAGTATGAGGATAAAAGAAAATCGAAGAGAAAAAGGAGGTTGAAAGAAAAAAAAAAGAAAAAAGAAAAAAAGGTAAGACAGAAGTAGAATCAAGTCAATATGGACAGTTGAAGATGGACCTGGTCGGCACAGGAGACCACGATGCCCCATCACGCAAGACATCACCTGGTCGATACGAAGATCGGTGTGATCGGGTTCCAGCATTGATCGTCGCCAAGCCAAAGTCGCATGCTCCTAACCGATACACCGGTGTGAAATGATGTCACAGGAGCAACCATGTCATTCGAATTTCGCTATAGTAAAACACAGTGGCAATCTCCATGCATCGACCGAGGGAAAACACCGGATTCTGCCCCGATTTATTGGCTAAGAGTGGCAAGGGTAATCTGGTGAAGTCGACTGTGGCGAAGTTATTGTGCGATACGTCCGCCGTGGAAGTAACAAATCAGAAGATGAATTGGTAACGAATGACATCGGTTTGACGCCAAATGTAGCACGAGTGGCTCCCGGATAAGCGCCATTGTCATTCCGACTCCGCCGCACGACATGCAGTCAAAGAATCGATTTCTCTCGTAATGTTGATAACGTAGTATAGTGCGGGGTGTGATCGTCCGCACAACGGATGGTGCTCCGACAACCAGTCAAAAGAACGTGTCGCCAGGGGAGACCCAAGGTGATATGCGTAATTGCTGAAATGTACAATCAAACCATGGCGGAGACGTATCTCGTACAGTTCTTTTGTTTTCGCTATACAAGTGGAGACACCGCTAGCCCTGTCATGGGCTCTACCAGCCGGGATGTTTGATGGGCGTCACGCCTATTTCTGCGACTTTCTGACCTTGGTGCTGGATCTCGTCATTTCACTCTTGGTCATTTTTTGGGTCAGTCCACCAATGTAGTCCTGCAAGAATTTGTTTTCACTTTCGAGTTTGTCGTGATCCGATTTCACTGCTTCGATACGTTCGGCAAGTGCCTGAAGGGAGGACTGGAGCGCCTTTGCTTGTCTAGAACGATCATCAGCAAACGCATCAAGCAACAAATACGAGATAATAGCCCGTAATGTAGATACTCACTCCTGCAAGGTCTGTCTGGCTTCCTTGCCCAGTCGCTCCAGATCAGCCGAGTTACGTCGGGGACTCATCGCGCGTGCGTCATCCGGGGGGAATTCTTCTTCTTCAATTTCAATCTCAGGGTGGTCTCGGGGAACTAGTATGGAGGCACTGGGTTTCCGACTGGCCATACGAGGACGTTCGGAACGACCGCGGCGTTCGGTTTCTGCGTCAGAGATAGAAGATGATGAGGAAAGGGAGGACATGTGTGCGCGGCCGTTGTCATTTGGCTGGGGCATCGTCGGAACGGGAGAGGAACCGTGCACATCGGAGGTTGACGCCATGCTTTTCTGTCTGTCCCTGGTGGCGTTCTGGTGGAATTTAAGGACGTCTAGGGCTGGGTGGTGGCTCCCTCGAAGAATTTAGGGGGACGAAAGTATGGTTGATGTGGCGGGTTTCCACGTCTCCAGAGTGGGTTTCGGTTTCCAGCACAATTAGTAGCAAATTCAATCGCAGCTGGTCGGACTACCTCTAGCGATTAACCCCAGATCGAGAAATCTGTGTTTCCGCCGGAGGTAGCTTGGCGAAAATCGACGGCGTTGGAACGAGGAGTAGTCTCCAGAATGGGTATCGGAAACGCTAAATCCCGAATACAGCGATAGAAAACTGGGGGGGAAAGACAGCGCAAGAGAAGCCACAACTAGCAACGATGCTCAGGCACAATCCAGGGGTGAGGAAAGAGATAATGGATTGAAGAGAGGAGGGGAGTAGAGAGGGTCAAAGAGTTCGGGGGAGGGGGGTGAAATCGCGTCGGTTAAGCGAAAGTTGGGAAGGCAACCGATACTCCGGACAAAGCAATTCAAGAATGCTCCCGGTGGATTGAATTGCCCTCTGGTTCTTTATATTTAATTTCTTTTTCTTCACTTCTTTTCTTGTTGTTTCCCTTTTGGTGTTCTTCCTTCGTTTATCCTCCTGATGTATGGTCGACGATGGACTAGGGAAAAGGAATTAGAGGAACAGAAAAGAGAAAAAAAAAATAGAGAGAAAGAAAAAAGGACGAAGGAGATGAACTCGTCGAATGATCCGAAAACGGGCAGACTAACAGCAGTGGGAAAGAAAGCCGTTCGGGTATAGTGTAGAGAGTGGGTTCTGGTAACAATCAAACACAATCACAAAGAACACGGAAAAAAAAAAAGGGGATGGGAAAATGATGAAATGTGAGAGGGAGGGATGGAGGGATGAGGGGAGGGTCTGAGGGTCAAAAAAATAAAAGAAAAAAAAAAAAGAAAAAGAAAAAAGCTGCGCGGAGAAAGAGAGTACGTGAGAGAGACACAGGCAGAGAGACAGGATAAGAGAAACAGGCAGAGGGGAGTTGATTAAACAAAAAATTATTAAATCAAATAATAATTTAAAAAAAAAAAATCAAATCAAATAAAATAATCAATGGAGAGAATCCATCCAGAGTAGCGGTGGTGAATTTTCCGCTCGTAATTATACATGAAAGAAAAGGAAAAGAGACTAATGACGGATACTATGGGGGTACTTCCAGGAGACACCTATCCGTTGGGCAGAAGCAAGTATCATGGTTGTACCTATGATGGAGCTGTACAACGCTGAGGAAGTAGTCACAGTATTGAGTAGTATGATTGCTGAGTCTTTGTATGACTTTTTCTTTTTCTTTTCTTTTTTTTTTTCTCCCTGTCTTTTATTATTTGGTCTCTCCTGCGTGAGGAACTCCTACATACGTACATCGACCTATTTTGTTTATTTCGTACTTATTAATTATCCCATAGGGCATGTCCTTTTTCCATCAAATTTTCTGAAATTATTATATATATATATATATATGCTTATATTTTACCTCTATAATACGACGCTGATATTCATACGATCCCTTTCTCCTGATACATGGGTTTCGAAACAAAGTTGGGTGGCTCAAAAGACTCGTGGCCGCCACTGGGAACGATCATAAACGCAGTTTTTGTGACCTTGGGGGTATGGTATGTAATGGACACGGAACTATACTAAAATGCCTTAGTATGGTCCATAGTACGTACGTACCTGGGAGGAAGCACAGAGGGTCAGCTAGTCGTGGTAGTATCAAGTATTGATGTTTCGGTGAGGAGCACCTGATTGGGATGGCGTGGTTGGGTGGAGGAGGATTTGACTTGAACCTTTTAGGGGTTCGGTCCCCCTTTAGTTCGTTTTCTTAGTTGGAATTTTTAGTTTCCTTTAGTCCACGTTAGTCTGGTTGCTGGGAGGGTGCACTTCTCTCTGTGGTTCGACACTGAGGAACCCCCCGTCCCCCTTGAGGGGGGCGAATATCAACCAACCAGCGCCCCTCATCGGTGAAATTCGAGGTTGATCCTCATTCATCCACCGCCAGTATGATGATCCGTAGGCTGAGGAGAGAAAGGAATAATAATAATAATAATAATAATAATAAAACAATAATAATAATTTTTTTGAAAGAAAAAGGACTCCCAAGATATTAGTGAGGTCGAACAAACAAACAACGAGAACAAATTAACTACGGAAGAACTCACATTGGATGAACTTATCCATCAGGGAACCCATGATGACTATACCTTCTGTCTGTCCCTTGCAATGATACAATCTGTTTGGTTCGCATGCAACCTCACCTGATGACATGGGTGCCGCTTAATATCAACAATCATACTACTTGACTCGGTAACATTTAACTATTGCTCGACTATATCGCACTATACTTTTATCACGAGTCGATCGTCTTCAAGCCCAAATCGCTAAGCGATGGGCATTCCATGGTCCTCGATATTGGGAACGTCCCGATGTGCCGAGGTGATGGATCATACCGCCACGGGGCACGTACTTTTTTACTTCTGCGTATCTGCTCAGTTTATGAGGAATATCAATTCTGCAGGCGAACAGAAAAAAAAAAAAAGAAAAGAAAAAGAAAGAAAAGAAAAGAAAAAGCCTTATGAATCATCAAACGTCTCAGGGATACAAAAAAGAAAAGGTCATGCAATGTCGATCGAGCGAAATGCATTTAATTCTCCATCTCTCGAAACCAGCAGACTATGTATGCACTACATGGATCCAGGAAAGCCTGCCAACTTTCCAGGAGAGCCTATGATATCAAACTATATTCAGAGTCCAAAACTCGGTGCCATCGCCCAAACAACCAGCTGAAACTCCATCCAACAGTACATGTTCCTCGTTCTTCGGCGAAATTCCTCTTCTGTTATCGTCAGACAAAACTGCTTACGCTCCTTTTTACTCACAGGTACCTCGCTAGGTAGGCTTGCCCCGTGAAGTACCCAGTACCGACTGGATACTCGAAGCGGGATAGATCCTTACTCGTGTCCACATGGTGTAAAAGGTGTCAACCGCCTAGGGTCTAAGCTTGTTAGTCCAACGTTGAACTTTCCCCTTCGGTCCACGAGTCAAACGGCTTGAGAGCAGGACGATCCATTCCCGTGGGTTCGAGAGTTTTCTGGCGGATCGTGTCCGCGAGCGCCTAATTAAGCAGAAAACCAAACGCGAAAAAAGAGGAGGAAAAAAGGTGAAACCGGGAAAAGGATGTGCAGGAATGCCGATCCACAACCAACACCAATCGTCATCGGGGGGTGCATTGAAAGAAAGGCCGAATCAGAATACGTCCGATTGCTTTCGCTGATCGTGATTTTGGAAAATATTAAAGAGTTGACATCATAATCCAGATATGGGGTATTTACTGCTATTAAATTATATTATTATTTATTTATTTTATTTTATTTTATTTTTCAAAAAAAAGAAACCATAATTTATTTTTCATTTTCTTTTGGGGAGCATATTCGATTGTAGCATCCTTTCACCCATGGAACAGAGTCACTGCTGACTACGGATGGAGACCTGCAGAATCCCCAAACCCCGTTTAAGGCTATACTTGGGATCATTATACTAGCCAGGACTCGATAATCTGTATGCAACATCCTGTATCTATAGTCAGATCTATAATCCCTATTCGACAAGCTAAAAAAAAAAAATATTAAAAAGGAAAAGAAGAAAAACAAGGAAACCCCCCCAAAAGGGGATAAGTCGACCCAAAAGAATGGATGAAAAAACCCTCAATTCAATAATGATGAATAAATTGCCCGAGGACGATGGATGCGATCAATTTAGACGTTTCGGGGAAGGATCCGAAATTTCCACGTAAGGTTTAATAAAGTCCAAAAGGTCGAAAGGTTAAGTGGGTTCAAGGCTTTGGGATGATTTTCAATTTCTTTTATTTGTGCCAATTCTTGCCCGATTCGGGCAGAGACAAAGGACATCCCCTTACTGGTTCTTCGGAGTCCGCCGTACGGGGGTGGCTTTGGTGCTTAGGTTATTGGAAGTTGGTGTTCTTTGCTGCGGTGAGGATTCGACTCCCATGACGGCACAGCACGTCATAGGGGACAAGACGACAAAAGTCCCCTAAATTCTATCCTCCGTACACTAATCCACGACGATAATGGATATGATTACACAGTGCCTAATATTATCTTAACGTTTACTTATTGCATTACATTATCGATTGGATCTATCCGGTGTGTTATGTATGGAGGACCTCGGTAGGTACATACGTATAGTAAGAGTATACTGTACACTGTGTACTGAGTACATACAGTCCATACATACAAGTACCATTTTTATTCGGGGTGTCCAAAAGTACTGCCCCATTTCCGGTTATGTATTCTCGGCTCCGACTATTTATGGAACTACAGAAGTATATATGGAGGGTCTTGAAGGGAAGTACACGTAGTGATGGAGATACCTATCTGATTCATTGTTGACGTTTCTTCCAAAATTAGGCCATCCAGTCGATAACTCGCCCGATCAAGATTAATATGAATAACAATTAAAACACCAACCACAAATACTCCCAGACAGTAAGATAGTTCCTTAATTATGGACCACTATATAACAACATCCCAGGATACGAACCAAACTCAAGATCCGACCGCTGAAAAATAAATTAAAATAAAATAAACAGATAAACCCACGATCTTGGAAGTTTAATTGCCGCAAGGCGTAAAAAGGCTTGCATGTATCCAAGTTCCCCCCAGTTGACAAGCATCACCGCATACCGTCGGACGGCGGCGATCAGACCAAAGAGACCCAAGTAGAATAAGAACGACGGAAAGCAATTGGTCTGAAGATGACCCTCTCCCGTATCTTCATGATACGATTTCCTCGATCCTACGTACTCAGCCCTCTTCAGAATAGAAAATGAAAAAAGGTAAATAGTATGAACCAACATGAGGCTAAATGTTCATCCAGCCGAATCAACGGCTCAGCGTGGAACCAGTGGCAAGTGTTCCTTGAGCGCCTCCTTCCCCCCGCATCCGACGTGAACTGAGCTCGCATGCGTCCACTTTTGACTTGAACTTTGCCGTTTGGGGGGGAAGAGGCGGCGGCGCGCGCGCGGACGTGTGTATGTGTGTCTCTGTGGGTGAGTGGGCTTGTGACCTTTTTTTTTTTTTTTCATTCATTGATCCAGAATGACAGTTGTCCATTTGACAGCGACAGCGACAGCGGGTTTCTGGTAGCGGAATTCTAATGTCATCCTTCCACGTCTGTACATACTTGTGTACATCGAGACTACAATCAAGGAAAAAAGAAAAAACAGCGAAAATCATGCTGCTTACTATTACTGATTTAGAAAAAGAAAAAGAGATCAATGCCTAAGCGCTTTTTGACCTAACCGCTCAAAACGCGAGTATCTAGCTACCCTCACCTTATATTTTCTTTTCTTTTCTCTCTATCCGCTATCAATCAAGTTCGTTCACCTTGATGGTCAGCATCGTCAGTCCTACTGTCATCAACAACATGGAACCCCCATCCATTCCTGTTCATCTGATGTATACATACTAGCAATCGGTTGACCATACGGTATTGCGCCTAACGATCGAATACAGTAAAATAACCAGAAGTAAAAAGGTACCGCGCAGTTCCTTATCCGCGTGACCGACTCCACTGATCTTACGGGAAAATCAATCAATCAATCAATCAACCCTTCAACTTGGAACCCTTCAATCCTTCCCGCCACTATGGTTGCGGCCGAAAGCAACCAGAGAGGCGAAATTAACTCATGAGGATACTCCGTAACAACTGAATGTAAACGTCAGAGGAAAGTCAAAGAAGGAAATCAAAAATCAAAAGAGACCAGATGAGGCTTATTGTCTAATACTAATGGAACGAACAGAGAGCCATTATTACCTTCCTTTTTCCTCCTTCGTCCCCTCCCCACCGTTTTGCATGTCTACCTAACATAACCTAACCCGATGTCAGTTCCAAGTCTTATCATAGGGTCATTTTAATTTCCGCAGTTCATCCATGGATTCTTTCCTCCATCCCTGACCGAATGACGATGCTAAACCGACTGTCGATCAGCGAGCAGTGTCCAACGCTGATTTGACCATTTCCACCATTCCCATTCATGACCCTCATTTCTTTCCTCCAAGTCTCCCCCCACCCAACCAAATTATTCCTTCTCTGCCGTGCTGCTGGGAAGTTTAATATAAGATGTTCTTGTGCTTTGCAAAACTACTATTTGATCACTTGATCGATTTCTCTTCACCGAGTCATCTAACTCTGATATTGGATTTTATCTCGAATTATGCATGACCATGACTCTCTCTACCTTTACTTAGTACGCAACCCAACCACCCACAACCCTACTCACTCCATAGTCCCCAAACTTCCCGACATACAAAATAACTCATGAAAGGCATCAATGATCAAGTATCAAAAAGAAAGAGCCAAAAAAAGAAAAGGAAAGAACAAGATAAACGCTCCGGCACTAGTTGCATGTGGCTTCAAGCCATACCCATCGATTTGAACCCAAGAACCCGAACTAGGGGAAACCTTGGCACGGCATTTCAATCCCTCCCCTTCTTTTTTCCCCCTTCCCCCCTTCCATTTTTCCATTCCCTGATTTTCCCATCTTAAAATGAGTTTCTCCGGAGAACTGGGACGGTGACGGATGTATTTTTTGTTGACTAGGGTTTTAATTTTTTTTACGGATCGTAGGGTTGGGTTTTAAGTGAGGACTCTGGGGAAATCGATAGGTTGGTATCGGCGTGACTAGTGGTCAACTTACTCGGCATTACTCCTTATGTCCTCTCTCCCCTATAGGTAAGTACGTAGGTAGGTACATATGTACATACTTAGTGAGGTAATTGTGTGTGTGGGGTGTGATTGTACCATATGTTCCCTTGGAATGGTAAATGGTCAAAGAAATGCCTTGTTGTCTCGTCTCTCCAGCGAAGATGCCCGTTCGGAATTCATGATGGGGTTAGTTTGGGTTCGGCCAAGTGCATTGATAGACGGTTAAGTAGGGGAGGGAAACCCAGCGGTATGTACATACTGTCTAGGTAGGTTACCACCTACTTCATAACCCATTCAAATCCCGTACTTTTACTCCGTTGAATGACTGTGACTCTGCAGCATTAACCCTTGCTCCGGAGCACCAATGTGCTTCCGACATGCAGAAGGGATGGGTATGTATGTCCGATCATCGATCCCGGTTGTTGGGACGGCCTCGTGTGTTCTTGAATACATCATCCTACTGCCTTCACAGGAGGGGAATTAGTTTACCTTGCTTGGATACTAGTAAAGTTTGTCCGACAAGAGACCTGGTGATCAAAAATAGAACCCGTTTGACCGGTCGACGTGAGCAAGGTAACGAGAGTCTTGTCTCCCTTGATCCTAGACCAGGTGGCCTAAGCTCGTCCCAGATGTAACAGGACGAGTGCAAAAAAAAAGAAAATAAAAGAAATAAAAAAATAAAAATAAAATATACATTGGACCAATACTAGCAAACCAATGATCATGGCATCTTTACTTCCGATAGAACCAATCCTTGCGTTGGCTACGCTGGCCAACTCCCTCAACGCCGGGCCTTATAACTCAGACCAAACGCCAAAACATAACCAATCGTAAGAATGCTCCCATATAATTTATACAACGCAACACACGGAAAAATGACTCCCATCCAATGGCCAAATTTAGGCAGCACTGGGATGAGATGCGCTCAGTTTCCACTGGTACAAGGCTCGCAGGACAGCTACACCTCCAGATTGCGTCTCCACAGTCCTCCCGCGGCCTCGGTCGTTATAGTCCGTCTGATGCAGCCCAAGAGCAATTGCATCACCAGTAGAACGTGTCTGGCCGGGTACATATGCGGGGTATACTGGTCTCTCCACTCCAAATCTGAAATCTCCGGATGAACGGGATGTCCCGTGAAGTAGCTGAGAGCCGTGTACGTGGTCGCCATAGTTCCGATAGTCAACCGCATCCGGGGGCAGAGGGCTTTCGTAGATGACAGCGTGATCAGTTTCACCGTATCGCCTGCCCCACCACATGCCAAACTTGCCGTCCTTGTCTCGAGTCATCAGAGCGGCCTCGGCATTGTGTTCGATCCAAGGCCGATATTTGCGGCACTGTGCTTGATGCCAATCATGGATGTACTCCCAGTCGCTGCCTGGTCCCGTCGTCTGGTTTGCACTCGCCAAAAAGCGTTCCTCTTGCGGGCGGATGGGTCGACAGAATTCCGCTAGATGATTGAAGAAGATTCCTTTGAATGTTTGTCCATCTTGAGAACAGCTGCCCCCGGAGTCGCATGCCTCCTCCAAAACGCCTCCACGGCCGAGGCCGGCCCATTTCTTACTTTTCTTGTTGTGCCACCCTGTTGCGTCTATAACGTTGCGGACAAGTTCATGCCCATCGTATAAGTACTGCCACGAAGCAGTGGCTAGCCAGAGGCCCCTCAGCCCGCTGAGGATCACTCCTTGATTATACGTGTATGCCATCTTATTCAGGATGTCACACTTGCGGGTGCCGGGCTCTTCAGCGCTCTTCCACCCGCTGATATGGAAACCATCCCCATAAAGTCCCCCGATCCCCGTCATGTGCGAGGCGTTGAGCCATTTGTACCCCTCGATCGCAGCCTGCAGATGAGCGGGGTGGTGAGGATAACCATCCGACCATATCTGATCGTCAACGCTGCTCGGTACGAAAGGTGAGTCAATCACATCACCTGGGAAATAGAGATACATCCCAATGCTAGCCGATATATACAGCTCGTTCGTTATGGCGTTCTTATAAGGCGTTAAGCGCGGGTTCCAAATCATTCCACCTCCGCAGAGGGAGATATCCCACCCACCGGACGCAAGCCCATAGAAGAGCCTCGCTCTATGAGCAGCCGGGGTACGGAACTGAGCCCCATGCCAGTGGTGTCTCCTGGTTAGGTTGGACCCCGAAGGCCCGTCAAAGTGCAAATCTGAGTGCAATACCTGCAGCTTGAGGTTCTCCAACCAACCCAGTACAACCCACAGCATATCGTCGTAGGCCTGATTTCTCACTGCAAAGGCATCTTCACCAAAATAGAACGCTACAGTCTGGTCAAAGAAGTGGTTGATCAGGTTCTCAAAGGATAAAGAGCGATGCTTGACAGCTGAGACATCGGCATCTGAGAAAATACTAGACGAAGCATCGTCCGTGGAGGATGACAATGATGCGACTGAGGCCGAGAGATGCGTACCGATCACAGCAGCAGTCCAATCGATACTAGAGGGCCATGTACCTTGCCATAGCTCAAAGTAACTGTCCTGCATCACATTCAGGGCGTGAAGCAAATCTTGCAGCGTGCGGCCGACAGATTCGCTAGGTTCGGGAGGCGATTCCAAGGGAGGCAGGCTTGATTGGCTTGACGATGAATCGGCTGGTGCATCCAGCACGAATGGTGCCTCGGGAGGTGGCCCCAGTATGTCTTGCGACCGCAGCGCCAGCGCATGGGTACGACATAGAAGCATAAATATGCAAATGAATCTAAGGATGCGTGAGAATGCAGCCATGGTCCCTGTATTCTATATATGTCCGGTCTTCTTTGAAACTCCCGGTGCTAAAAAGATCAATTGTATAGTGGTTAATTTAATGAAGGGAGCTTCCAACGGACAGGGGGTCCTCGACTTGAGGAAACCCCCACCAATTAAAGATGCTTTCCAATGCAAGATGGGGGAAACCCTTGAACGGGTGGACGAGAACTTCAAATTGTAAAGGAAAGGAAGAGAGCGTCCTGCGATCAATTGAGTGAAGAGTAGAAGTATGAAATTTAAGCCATGTTCTCCCAGTTGTACGACGAGGTCGCACTCACCATAGTGGAGGAAGTTGGTGGGGGGCAGTGCGGGGGTTAAGTTTGCACTTAAAAACGACGCGGAAGGTCCAGCGGGAACCAAGCCGGCGCTTTTATACCCTAACTGGTCCTTCTCTGGAATGCGTGCCGTCTTTGGAAACCCGGTTAGGGTAAGTAGTAGTACTTCTGATTGTTTCTACTCACACAGTACAACGATTAATTGAAATCCTTCTGGTTCAACTACCTTCAATACAAAAAAGGGCTCTCTCAAAACCCTTGTTGTTTCTTCATATGGTGTCACGCGCCCTTGAAAACTAGATCATGAGTCCCTACGTAGTCTTCTGATATCGTCTTCGTATTCCAATTGAAATGCTTAATGGAACAGTAGCTTAACTTTACAGGATCAGCAGACCTTCTAATTCGATACGCTAGTTGCAACTACAACCCAATTCTCAATGAAAAATGTTCCGCTGTTGTGCCAACACAGAAGTATGGAGCTAAAAGCAAGCAAATTAAGACAAAAGCCGCATGGATCATTGCATATCATGCGTTATCACGCGGAATCAACTAGTAGTCAATTTTTTGGATATCCTAGTAATGCGAAATCATAATAATTGGAGTCTTTTCTATCCCCAATGTTAGCAAGCGATCGGGTATCTTCCTGAAGTGCGCCGTCGTACCGGATTGCTATTAGATCATGACGCCAGCATGTATCTCTTTGGAAAACCATCCCGTCAGACAACGACCCTGTGAAGGCCCCCCAAGAGATAATGCTGGCCGGAAGCACATTCACCCTAGTAATCAATGTCTATCGAAGCGGTGCGTAGAAGTCGAAACCAGAACCAACGTCTTCATGATTCTCAACCGTGGCATAACCTTCCCATGAAAAAAACCGACGCAGGTGAACTGGGACATGTGGAAAATAGAAAGGGAAACTATGCCGGGGCTATATCAAGCCACATATTCCGGAACTGGTAGAAGGGGTCTACAGAACCAATCTGAATGACATAGCCTAATCCCTCTCATCCGCGCCGGGGCTGCGACTCCTCTCGCGACTCCTGCTGCGGCCTCGTCCACCACGACCACCGCCCCTTTGCCCACCAGCCTTGCCTTTGTTCGAGGGAGGCGGCCGGACAAATGCATAGTCAACTTGAATTGTCTGATCGAGCAACTTGGTCCCGTTCAAGTTCTTGACGGCTTCTGTAGCTTCGGGCAGAGTGGAATATTCGATCAAGGCGTATCCCTGGGGCAATGTACAATCAATATCTCGTCATATCCATTTCAATAACTGCCACAACGATAAACCGGTGATGAAACCAAAGCAAAGCAAAATCCAAGTAAATATCAACCCACCTTCACATAACCCGTCCGGCGATCAAGGTTCAAGTTGAAGTTTTTAATCTCTCCATACTCGGCAAACAGATCGGTCACATCTTCCTCTGAAGCTTCTTCATGGATATTGGTGGCGATCACAATCCAGCCCTCGATACTGCGCACTGCAACAGCCCCGGCCTGGGTTCGTGGCTCGAAGCCGCCGCCAGATTGCGCCGGGGCTTCCTCCTGCTCATGCGAAACTGGCGGGTCTACTTCCATTTCTCCGGACATGATGGCGTTAGAGGGAGTGAGATTTGGTAAAGGTTTATATACCGAAAAGTCTGCCACGAGAAAAGAAACACAAGGCGAGTTCCGGCTCGACGAAATTGTTCCAAGTGCCTGGGGATCGCGAGATGCTTTGGGAGCGATCATTCATTGCCGGAGGTTAGCTCGCGGTGTGCTTATGTAAGCGCGAGTTATCAGCCCTGGTCGATGGGAACTATGGCTAGGACACAACAGCAATATGCTTGTATAACCTATGGTCAGTAAAGAAAATACTCAATTCTCCCGGAAATAAAGAATGTTATAGACTCAAGAGAAGCCTAAACAGGTGGCAAGGAACGCGCTTAACCTGCCCCAACATGGCACCCAAGCAAATTGTACCATGTAGCACATTCTGAATGTCCATTGTATGTAGGGTAAACAAAGATTCAAACAGTATACAACTACATTGTGAAACACTATAGCTGCGTATCTGCTGTGTTAGATAGAAGAAATAAATCAGCGGCTAGATTTAGGAGAACAAAGCCCTCCAGAACATTGGTAGCAGGAAGCCGTACAATAACACGCTTGGCCTTGGGAGCTCAGAATGCTCTGTAAAAATCAGCTGAATATCAAATACTTTAGTAGTAGCATCATATATACTAATGTGTATAGATTTTTTTCTTCGGGCAAAGCCAATACAGCCCTTGGTTACTGAATAAAACATACTAGTACTTGGTAAAAACGGCAAATGAAGATGAATAGAGTGCATTGTTGTGAAGGCTCTAGTAGTCCTCATTCACTAGTGGCTAACGGTGTCGTCCTATGTCCAGTCTCTTGTAAGCAATGAATTGGTGAATAAAAGCTCGCTGCCCTTCACTTGACCTATTTTGTGTTCCTACTCTAGTAACCTATCACAGAATGCGTTGTTTTACAAAGATCTTCTACATGGTAGTATCTTCTTGTGCAAGAGAAAAGACACTCCGTTGAGGCCATCATAGTCCTAAAACGAGAATGCGCTGGTAAGGTTTGAATTATTGTCAACCAAGATGCCCAAGCTCTGATAAGCTCTCTTTTGTACGGCTAGTGACGATCCAAAATGTGGCTGTCAGCCTTATCCCAGGAAGAACAGAAAGGTTGAGATAGTCTTGTATGGTGGCCAGCCTGACCAATTTCGTCCACTCAATCAGCAAGGCTCCAGTATCGATGTGATCTTTGACCCAATCGGAAACGCCATGATATTGCGCGAGATAATCAATGTCCCCGCGAGGAAGTATACGTTTTGGAATTTTAGTGTGCAACTCGATGCTGCAAACTTGCATTTCATGAACCTAGAAGGGCTCGCCGATGGCTCTCTGATACTCACCGTTCGGATACGAAGCTCAGCTTGTGCCATGAAAGGTAGCATGATATCGGTGAAGGAGAAGATTTCTGGATTCGCGCCTCCTCACCTCGAAAGTAAATTGTACAAAGACCTTTATTTGTGCGACTGGTCACGGCAAACCCTTCAGTTATTCCTCCCGGAAGAGCGGCTAGTGGAATGGAAAACAGTGGCATTGATACTCAAATCCTTTGGGAAGATTACGGCAGACCAATGGTCTGATATGGTGTGGATGAAGGATAGGCCATCTGTTGCGGGTCTAAATTGGAGGGCCATTGAGAAGGATATCAAGATTTACAAGAGCAGATTGGCCGAGTTGAAAGCTAAGGGGAAGCAGACATACGCAATCGGTAAAGAAAACGATATCACCTTATTGCAACAGGATTCTGCTATTGCCTGACATATTGGATATGGCGTCTCACAAGTTAAATCATTGTCTCGAGCCGTCTATGCGTGTGTCCTGGAGACCAATCCATATGACTTGTGACTTAGGGCTACTGAATATGTACATTAGGCTTACGGACAGAATCGTCACGAGATAACCTTCCACAAAAACGATGGATCGAAGAACATCTGGAGATCGTCATAACTCTTTAGAGTCGCTATAAGGCATTTGGTTCACAATCTTCTTGCTTTTGAATGAAAATTTAAAGGCGGACCATATATTGTGTGCAACACCCTCCCCTGCATATGGCAGACAACCGCCTACAACTTCCTTCCCACACCATCCCCCCATCATCTGAAGCGAAATGATATTTGCGCAGAAATTAATACACTGACTCTCTCTGCTTCAGGCCTCAATCTGCTCTTACCAGGTATAGCAGCATACACAAGAGCCTGGAAGTTACGATCCATCAGCCAGGCCATGGCAGACCGCTTTGCGCGCATAGATGGATCTACGACTCATGCCTGTAATGTCAACATTACTATGTTTACCCTTTTTGAAGGTTCCCAAGTACTTCAACCCAGACTGCAAGATTACAGACTATAATGTCTATCCTCTTGCTCAGAAGTGCAGGGCGGGAGATGACATTATTTCTCTTCCAAATTTGAAAACAGAGGATAAGATAGTCTAGACTATGTTGGAGAAGTGGATCAAGCGACGATGTCGACATACACAATCAACGCAGCAAAACATGTAACGCCAGAATTCCTACCACTATTCCAAAAAGCGACAGGCGATGCATTCGTCACCGGCGAAGTATTCGATAAGTCTATGGAGAGAATCTGCGGCTACCAGGACCATTTAACAAACGCTCCCAACTATCCCACCTACTTCTCCATCCTATATGCCTTTACAAGAGGGAATACCAGCTCCCTACCGGACCAAGTGGAAATCATGAAGCACAATTGTCGTGACGTGATAACATTAACTACATTCTTGAAGAATCATGATGTTGCTCGGTTTGCTAGCTTCAGAAAAGACATGAATCTAAGTCTCTGCGATACATTCAAACTATCACCCCCACTCTCCGAAATGGACCACCCACGCCTTAGCTCGCCAAAAACGTCATTGCCTTCACAATCCTCTGTGATGGCACCCCAATGGTATACCAAGGTCGAGAGCAACACTTCTCTGGCGCCCACGACCCCGACAACCGCGAAGCCCTCTGGCTCTCCGACTACGACACCAACACACCACTCTATGAACTAATAGCCACCCTCAACACGCTTCGCAAACATGCATCTCCGGTAGATCCAGAATACCTCAATACCCAGGCATCGCCCATCTTGAAAGGCCTAGGCGAGATGGCTTTCGTAAAGTGAAGAGGAGGACGGCAGGTAGTAACGGTGCTATCGACACAGGGAACCAACAGCGGTGCCTACGCCACTAGGATATGGAATGGGTATCAACACTTATCCATCGTCATTGGTGTCTTGACCGGTAACAAGCACAAAGCCAATGATATGGGTGAGCTTAGGCTTCTTATGGATAAGGGGGAGCCTCGGGTGCTTTTCCCGACTAATCTTATGCATGAGAGTGGGCTTTGTGGGTATGAGCGGCCAATGTGTCTTCGGAAAACTTTAGGAAGCGGCCTACAAATGATTCTGTTTCTAGTGGGATGGCTTGCTGGGAAACTGGGCGGATGATCTGTTTTGGGTTCTTTGGCGTTGGTATGCGTGGTTGCGTTTGTGCTGTGAACTGTGGTAGATCCTTGTCTAAAACAATTGTTTGAAAGCGTTATTCTAGCTCGGATGTGTACAAGATTGATTTACACGTACATGTATTTCGATTCGAGCGAGAAAGTGGCCTCTATATAGAAAGTAAACGACCATGCTATTTCGAGTTGGTGAAGTGGAGGATGAGCTACGTAATAACTAAGGAACTCTGGGAATTCTCCTTTCCTGTTTCTTTTCAAATAAAAATTTATTCTTCAAGTGGAGCGGAGATACTACTTCCAACTCTAGACGTCTGACATGAGACCCAGATATCTTTGCTGTGACTTTATGCCAACTTGATTATAAAATCAGGTTGCTGACCCTGCGATTCAGCAGGAGTGGCTAGTATGTCTCACAGAACGAGTTATACATGTGAGGCGGGAGATGAGCAGCCAGCAAGCAGCTATCCCATGCGAATATAATACATAAAGAAGTCAACGAATTGCGAAAAAGGCGAGACCGAATTGAATTCACTTTCCTCCAAGATCATCTCCCAGTGTCATGGCTTCTGGTTGTCGAGTGAGATGAAACTGAGGTTTCATTTCGTGTCGTTTGTGGCCTTGTCGCCGATCAAGGTTTGACCATTTTATTTAGACGTGGCTTGACGCAGGAGCTTATTTCCGGTTGTTGCGCTGCATGGCCAAAATCTGGACCATACGGATGAAGATATTGATGAAGTCAAGCTCAAGGCTGATACTCTCGTTGACAACATCCCTCCGGATAAGGCCCCTCTGGGCCATACGAGAGTGGTGCAGGACCTTCTGCACATCGTAGAGAGTGAAACCACCGAAGACAGCAAGACCTCCATACAGCCAGATCTTCTCAGACCACATCAAAGTGCGGGTGGCGGTAGCGGGGAGGACAAGAGGAGCGAGACCAGAAAGAGCGACGATAGTCACACCGGCGAGCAGGGGGGCACCAAGGTACAGGTACTTGTCCTGCTTAGCAGTAGCACCAACGAAAGCAATAGATCCCATCATTCCAACAGTGTAAAGACCAGCACGAGCAAGTAGAGCGGGGTGCATGAACATCAAGGGCGAGAGGAGGGCTGCCTGAGTGACGTTGAAAGCGGTCCAGAGACCGTACTTAGCCAAGTAGCTGGGTATCTGTTAGCCGGATTTCCCGCAATACAGGTCAAACAGATAGGAGAAGAATACTTACTTGTCGGGAGAAGTGTAGTAAGTGCCATACATAGTTCCGATGCTTCCAACCAAGCCTAGACCAGCGACAAGCCAAGGGTTCATGGCCATCAAACGGTAAGACCATCCGTTCATGTGCATAGCCCTAGCGGCAATACCAATAATAGCGATACCAAGTCCAGTGTGCATAAAAGTCTCGTTCAGATAGCTACGTTCGTAGGGAGCCATGCCACCATCCTCTCTAGTTTCGCGGTTGAAGATCATGTTGGTCGCCAGGATTGTTCCACCAACGATGGCGGCGCCATACAGGAGTCGCTGAGTGAGATTGCCACCCTGAGCGGCATTGTAGGTAGGCTGCATGTAAGTACGACGGAAGGCATTCTGAAAGGTCTGTCTAGATTTCGCGAAGATAGAGGAGGTGGCCGGGCCGAGTGGCTTAGATTGGGATGGCTTAAAAGGTGAGTTGTGGAAGAATCGAGCAGTGTTGGCAGTTTTGGGGACTTGACGCAGCGCCGTTGGAACGGCGAATGGACGCCGTAAAAAGAACGCCATGGTTAAAATGGGATGACGAAGTTGATGATGGCGGTTTAGCGTCGAAGGAGATGGGAGCTATTTAAAAGCCGCGGGCCGGTGATATCAGCCTTTCGCCCTTTTCCGGATTAGGCGTGTTTGCTCCCAAACCTCCTGCATGTTTGCTCCTCTTACTGGCGTAGCGCTACGGCTACCCGAAACTTCGAGAAGTGCAATCACGTGTGACTCATGGCTTAGTAACGGGGCGTTCGGCGATAACTCGTTTCCATTCTCCGGTACTATCATAGTGGGGGAGGGGGAAAAGAGCTGCAGTTTTGCCGATACGGACATTGCATATCACCGATTTTCTTATTCCCTTGATCACCATTGCAGTGTGTGGAAGTGGAACTACCTTCGCCAATTGACCTGATTCTCAGCATCTACAGCTCCATCGTCGGCTTTTAGAGTGCCAGTGCACATAACTCTCAGCCCACCATGTCTTCAACATTAGAAACCATAAACCTGCCCCATCTCCCTTCTACTATGCCTGTGCATGTAGCTATCTACCGTGATGTCCAGAATGCTCCTTTTCTCCGGCAGCAGCTCATATCCGGGAACTCGGATTTCGAATATGCGTTCATTGATGCAAGCATGGTATGGCATTGATGTCAAGAAAGCTCGCTAAAGAAACCAAGACCCTGACCACAATATGCAGGTTCTTTCGAGAGCGCACGTTTCGTCCGCAATTTTCAGGGCCGTAAATGACTATCTCAATGAGCGTCTCAAGTCTCGTAATGTCCACTCGGAGATTGTTTTCTCTTTTAGCCCCACGAACAATGTAGGTTGATTTGTAGCTCATAATTCGATGCCTCAGGCGCTAACAGTTTGCAGATTGCCGACTCCTTCCGGAAATTCGGTATCAGCGATTCTACGAAAGATCTGTTGGTGGTGAAGGTGTCTGTAACACCGGAAATTACCCATGATTCAGTAGCGGCCCACCTGGCACAATCTGTTGAAGGCTCACCTGTGCCTTTCAATGACGAGACTCTGGCTGAAATCGCGGATGTTGCCAAAATAAAGAAGGCCTACAAGTTGGGAGCATTGCCTTCTGCTCCTGCGGGTCAAGTAAATGGTGCTGGCAGCAGTGATGATGTACGACTCGAAAACTCCATTATCGGTGCAATTGCCCTGCGAGGAGCGACTTGATTGCTTAATGTTCTCCAAATTTCCACGTCAACCTGGACTCCATCTAAGTGACCTCAATTCGAGCGACTTCCAATACAACAGGCTCCATCTTGCCTGGTTGACTTCTTTCGGTGAGACTCTATGGGCCATGGTCCTGAGCGTATGCGGCCAAACTTAGATTAGTGGATGAGTCCTCCACCAAAAACACAAGCTCTCGGCCCTCGCTCCTTCAACACAGGCGCGAATGGCGCTATGGCTCTGAGCAACATACGCGTTGAAATATAGTATTATCAGTGACTGAATGATGTGTCGCCTCGGAACGCCTATTCACGGGTATATACTACACGACGCGAAGAGCAATACCGTGGCTTAGTATCTAACGAATATTATTCAAGAATATACCAAATTCTAAACCATCCTTCAATGGCAGCTACGAGTATCAGCCCCTCGTAGATCAAATACAAAACGATTGCAAACATTTGCTGTAAGGAAACAGGGATTACGATCGGTTGCCCTGCCCACTGATAAGTAATTCCTAAAGCGGTAATTTAGCAACTTGTGCCAAGACGAACCCGTTCAAATGATTCTCTCTTCAACAATTACTCGACAGCTCGACATACACTTCAAATACCACTGCCGACATAGATCTCTCCTGAAAGAGAATACGGAGATTTTGCGCGAGCCTCATAAAGCTTCATATTGGTGGATTGTCCGCGACCATGTCAATCGCTTATTCCTACAACTAATTTACCTTGACTCGCCACACCATGAGCGCCGCAGCGGACGTTATCGTCCTCTCTTCATCCCCAGATCGCATTCCCAACCGTTCTTCAGTACAGCCTGCCCATGATCTCGTGAAGCTGTTCGATTTGTCCCCGCCAAGTGCATCTCCGTCTCCGGTACGGTCACCATCAGAGTTGTTCCAACTTCCTACACGTTCCAGGTTTTTCGAGCTTGAAACCCCGTCACGGAATAAAGAAAATAAGACACCCCAGGAACCACCAGTCAAAAAGGCCAACGCCACTTCGAATTCAAAGAACGCTTCCTCAGAGGATAAGCCTAAGCGGAGGGGGAGGAAGCCCGCAAGCGAGTCGCAGACGGTACGTGTTAGCCCGGGATCGGGTGGCCTAGCACAAGAGAGCGCACCGAAGAAAGCTACAGGTGCCAGGAAGAAGCGTGCGGATAATAAGGGCAAGTGTGAGAAAGCTGCGAACAAAACCATAACAGGGAGGGTCGCGAAGCCTGGCAATGCGCAGACTAAACCGCACCAAGAGAAGATTATGGATGTGTCGACTCCGAAGGGTTTGTCGCAAACGAAGCATGCCAGTGAGGTCGTTGATCTGGGAAGCGATGGAGTGCAATTGGAAGCTGCTGTGAAGCGGAGAATGGATTGGACGCCCACTAAGGATACCCTTGCGCAAACGGTAGAGTTGAGTCAAGAGGAGGTTGCAGAAGCCAATACCAAAAGTTTTGGTAGTCTGCTATCTGAGTACGGTTTCAATGATGTTTCTTCAGCTCGCAGTGATGTCAGGAATTTTGGAGACGATGGTCCAACGAAGCGTAGACGTATAGAGGTATGGCTTGTATTATCTTTGTCGCCCGGTGTTTCAGGCTAATACTTATCTTCGAGCAGCTCGTGGATTCTAGGTTATTTGGTTCATCGAAGCAAGAATCGCATGATCTCGATGATATAAGCATTAGAGAGGATAACCAGCAAAAACAGCCAGCGGCCAAACAGAAACCGAAGAAACAGACTAAGAAATTCACGACACTTACAGCTCGTGTGACAGCAAATTATCTCAATGATTCCCATGAGGGATCGGATTCGTCAAGCAGGGAAACCACTAGTACTTCTCGAGAAACTGCTGCAACTGCAAGAACAAAGGCCACGAAAAGCAAAGGAAAAGCTACTTCCAAACCTAAGGAGCCTGAATTCATAGTGCTTTCACCCGAAGCAGCTGCAAAGTCGCTAGAAAACCAGGAACCCATATTTGGAACTTGTAGTCAGTTAGAGCGAGAGGATTCTCCGACCTCGCTAAAGGAGCTACAGGCAGCCATCAGTGAGTCGGAGAGGTATACTGTGGCAGAGCCCTCTTCATTGAGTTCAACACTATACTCAACACCCACGTCCCGTTTTACTACTGCAAGAGGCTTATGGTCCGTTGCAGCCAGAGATCTAGAAGGGTCATTGATTCACCAAACGGAAGTTGTGGACCTGTTGGATACACCTGAGCCTGCTAGGATGACGATCTCGACCAACGATAACCGTAATGAAAAGGCGTTGGAGGATGCAGCCATTGTCACGCTTAGAGAACCGTTTAATCTTCCCAAGGGCGAGGCACCTAGGCTCAAAGCTATCCCAGCTGCGAGAAAAGAGCCATCCCCAGCGCCTGGTTTGCCCACGACAAAAGCTAGTGATAAATCTAGGCAAACCACCTCGCAAGATCCTGAGCCACAACCTGAAATGCCGCGTTACAGCGGCTTCACCGATGCCGAATTATCGAAACAGGTCGCATCGTACGGTTTTAAGCCCATGAAGAACCGAAAGAAAATGATCGAACTTCTCGAAAAATGCTGGGAGTCCAAACATGGTAAAAGCGTAACCTCAGAAACCCGAGCTAGCTCGCAAACTACAGAGCCAACTCGCGAACCCGCCTCTTCCGAACCCAAGGCATCTCAGAAACAGCCACGCAAACCCACTACTTCACGAAAGACAACCACAAGGTCCAAAACAAACCCCAACTCAAACGCACTTTCAGGAACAAAGTCCAGAAAAACACCATCAAACAGCAACGCTCTCAAAGCCGCAGACACTCAATCAACACCAGCCCAAGCACCACCAACACAGTCCTTCATCAACGTCGAAGAAATCGAAGACTCAGAAGAAGAAATCCTACCTTCACCCTCCCGAATCCTGAACCGATATACACATCAGCCCTCAGAAATCAGACAAGTCTTACCCATCTCAGAAACACTATGTAGCACATCCCGTACCAACAAGTCAACGACTAAGAACAGCGCAACCCTCAATCAGAAACAACCCGACTTAGCTGGCCAAATCCTCAAGGCCATGCACGCACAGCCAGCTGGAACGCCTAGTCGTCCGAGCTGGCACGAGAAGATCCTCATGTACGACCCCATTATCCTCGAGGATTTTGCCACCTGGTTGAACACCGAGGGCCTAGGCCTTATTGGTGAGGATCGGGAAGTCGGTGCTGGTTTCTTGAGAAAATGGTGTGAGGGTCGAGGGATTTGCTGTTGCTATCGATGAGCTTTCGTGCGCAGCAACGGTCAAATATATCATACCTTATTATTCACGCGTCATTTTTACGATTTTGCCCTTTTGAAAGCCAATATACTGCATTAGGTACGTTGTTTGGGGCGTATGGAAACTAAGCAGTTCCTTCTTTGTCGGGGTTGTATGAGAATTTTCTGGAGTTTTGGCATATCTATTATTGGAAATACCCTTTTATAGATTTTATACTTGTTTATGAAACACAATGGCCTACGCAATTGAATATGACCAAGTTTACTGCGTTTCGGATAGACTTATTTATAGTTTGAGATTTCGAAAGATACTAGTTTTTCTTATCCTCAACAGACCAACTAGTAATATACAAATAACCATCGGTCTAAGACCTCAAAACTAATTTGTACAACAAGAAGCATAGTAGAAGAACAAGTATAAGCGAAGTAAAATGAAAGAAAGATATAGGAAACCATTACAATGCCCCCGCTCTAGATAATGCGAGAGAGACACCAAATTACACTAGTCCAGATTCACTCCTTATATAATTCGGTGTCTTCTGCAGGCTGTTGCAAATTAGAAGAGACCTCCTCAGTGAGCGGGTTTTCATAGACGTAGGATGAGTCAGTTTTAACCTGATGAGCCCCCTGGGCAATGACCTGTGCAGGAGAAGAAGCATAGTAATTCATGTGGTTGCTATGGAGCTGTTGGGTCTGCAACGGCGCAGAATATTGCGAAGCCAAGGATGACATAGGCGGAATCCCTTGGCTCAGTGGAGTATTGAAGACACTATAGGGCAGGGTGGGAAGTCCGTGAGGCATTCCGTCCATCTGGCCGTCGAGGGGTTGAGGAACCTGCTCACAGTAAAAATTGACAGCTCTGTCTTGATGGAGGAGAGTATCTGGTTGAAGACGGCCAAATTGGGAGTAATTTGTCAGTGAAGCAGGTCCTACTTCATTTTGCTGCGGATAGCCAGGAGCCGTTTGTGACGAGCCACTAGCAACGGTGCTTAGGCTAGGTTGATGGTTCGATTGGCTGGGACCCAAGCTCCCAGCTACCGGAACTTGCGCAGTGCCTTTCCCGCCGTAGTTCCTCTGATAATCTGTGCTTCCGAGGGTTTGCCAGGAGCCATAGGGGGTAGGTAAGGTCGGCAGAGGGGGAAACTGATTATTTCCCCGAGAATAGTTTGCTCGGAAATTGTCTCTTGCAGGAAAATTGGGGAGAAGAGCACTAGGAGGTTTTAGGCCATGTTTTGGCCATGCATCTTTGGTGACCCATGTTTTCCACCGGAAGAAAGGGATGGAAATGTTAGCATGTCCATATGCGATAGGGAGTGGTGCTCATGCTCACATCATCGAGTTGTTTTTTCAGCTCCTCGATTTCGTTCCTGTATTTCTGTTCGCGTCTTTTAAGCCCCTCAAGCTCCTCTTGCAGTGTTTGGATTTTTTCTTCCTGGTCCTTGCTTAATCCACGATAATGAGTGACTTCAGTCGATGCATTTGTTTCGCCGCACCATGAGTTTGTCTTGACACAATTTGAACATTCCGTGTCCTTATCACTGTTGCATCTCGACTTGAATAGCTATTTGTTCAGGGAGTCAGTAGGACAATGATAATAAGATGGCGTCTAGATGCCGTCCAACAGCGAGACGGAAGATGAACTGGGTCCTTTTTGGAAGAATGAAATGCAAGTTCGATTGGCGTACTTACTCTGCAGAAATCACAAGCTGTCGGCGCTCTTGTGAGAGGCTCACGCTTTTTGAATTGCTCATCTGGACGGACCGGGCCCTTTCTGTATTTTGCTTCCATCGCTTTCTCGTGCTTCTTCTTTGCCTCTGCCCATTCGGCCATCATTTTATCTTTTCTTTTGTGGTGATTAGTGAGATATGCATCTCTCCAATCCTTTTTACCTCTATTTAGCGTAGGTACATGATTCTTCCGAGCTTTCTTCTTTGGTGGCTTCTGCGCAGTTTGTTGGGCTGTAGCATCTTCCGATCCTTGTGTGGCCTCCGACGTAGCCCTTGAGGAATTGGCAGCTTCCAAAGCAGTAGTTGTAGCGCCATCGCGATTTTCAACTGGAGGTCTGGCAATGGCGGTTGTTGAAATTTCCTCAGGAACAACTGTAGCAGAAGGTATCTCACCAATCTCGACCTGCTGCGAGATTGTCTGTTCGATTGGTTCAGGGTTCGGGGGGCTAAGATGTATGTTTTCGAAGAGTAACGCGTCGTCAACAGTATCTTCAGCATTGGGTATCAGCAATTCGTTATTGTCGTAGCCTTCAAGGGCAGCCTCGTCAAAACTCCGTTTGTTAGACATTTCAATCGGTGGGCAGTTCCAATTTGAAAAGGTGATGGGACAACAAATGAGAACTATCAGCCCTTGAAAGAGTACGATACTCAGAGCTGGTGGAAGATGCAGCGTAGCTTAAGTACAGATGCCAGGGGGTACTATAGTAAGACCAGTACATGTTGTACACAGGATATCACTGTATATTTATGTTGATCTCTGGGGGTTTCGGTTCCCGCCTTCTCGGTGAAGATCCCATTATCGATGCATTCCAAAGGACATGGACAAACAGTATAAAATGTACATTGTCATATAGGGCGTTCGCTGCGGAGGGCAATATAGTGGGATCAATGACTTTTACGTAGCCGCAAGATTTGTATGTCATTGTTCGGTATGGGTCATTTGTGTAGGAAGTGGAACGCATGCGCAAGAGTATGTGTCAAAGGCATTGTAGGATAATCTGAAACTATACATTCCTGTATTCCATCAACGGATGGGTCTTCCATAGGGTGAAAGGAACCAATGTTTCTCTTACCGCATTCAATAGTTGGGTCTGATGGCCCTTTGTTGCTGTACAAAGCTGTCTTTCGCAAAGAGAGGGAGAGCCTGGTTGACAAAGCGCAGAACTACCGATCATTGTAATACTATGGAAATCTCCGAGTCCTTAAGTCTTCGGTTGCGTATAGTTGAGCGATGTGGTGAATAAGCGGTGGTTCTATTCGGATACGCAAATATCTCCAATTTTTCCAAGACAGAGCAGAAGCGAGAGAGATAATGAGACGGGAAAATAGCGAAGATGATTCTAAGATACATATAGAGACGTTCCAAGAAAAACTAGAGATTGATCAGCTCCTACCATGCAATGTAAAATGAAGCTGATCCTGGAGCAATTTATGCTGCCAAATGCCCTTCCCTTCAGAGTTAAACACCTGCCATGCCCATATAACGTCGACAGAAATAGTGGAAAGCATCCCGATCGAGAACAATGACACAAGGGTGGAGGAAACGAAGCGAGACAAATGCGCCCTGCACCAGCGCAAATCAAGAGACCCATAACGGTCATCAATCATGATAAGGTGGGAAACTGAAGGCCGTGAAGACAAAAAAACAACTCCTGGGAACAGAACACCGAGGTACACGAAGCGAATGCGGCATGAGGGAAAAATATAACGAAAGAAAAGTCAATATTAAACAATAAGTTTTCGGATATGTGAGGTGATATAGGAGCCAACTAGTAGTAAAGTGACCCAGGCCGACAAGGCCATCATATTGCGCAGCAACAAGCGATGTGGAACCCATACGGATGGGCTAGAATTGTGCGGTAGTCATCGAAATACTCTACCATTCTGAGCCACTGTCTCAAACCTGATCTTGTTCTGATATTTCGAATGTCCGCCATCTTCGAGCCAGGGCGTGAGGTTCTTGCACTGGCTGACATCAAACGACTCCAGCTGGTTACAGCCGTCAGCCACTGCTTCTACCCCCGCGCCAGTCACTCGAACGCAGCCACGAACCGATAGTCGCTTCAGGTGCAAAAGATGAAGGCCAATGCTGCGCAGGGAAGGGTCGGAGATTGCAGAACCACAAAAAGACATATTCAAATAAGTCAATTGGGAACACTGAAGAGCAAGGACCTCTGTTGCTGTATCTGATAATGCACAACAAAACGACTATTCAAAGGTTAGTGGATATTTATATCTCTTTGCGATAACCTCGACCAAAGTTGGAGCCTGACGCCTTACCAGATCCAATTCCTGTAGCTGCTTAGCAGCGTTGGTCAAATAAACAATAGCTTGGTCAGTCAAATAGGTGCAGTCGGCTAAACAAAGCTTCCGCAGATTGGTGAATCGCGCGTTCCCCCAATATTGAAAACCTTGGTCTGTGATAGAGGTGCAGCGTGTCAAGTCCATTTGTTCGATCCTGTGAGCAGCATGGGACGCAATATGGTGCATTGACCGGTCGGTGACGTGTTTACAGTATGACAGCGTCAATTTCGTCAGCTTGGGGCAACCGAAGACAGCACCAGCTGCGGTTTGCATGGTGGGCTTAAGGACCCCTTTGCTCGTCTTCACAGGTTCATCTTTGTGTTGCCCAGGCATGACCCAACCAATAATCCGAGCCAAGAGCGTGTCCCCGACTTTCCGGCAGTTGCTCAAGTCCACCTCTTGCAGTCCTTTTGCCGTGCTCGCCATGTCAAGGATGGCGGATGCAGTGACGTCCCACACACTTTTCATCTTCCACGCGGCGACGTTGGAGCCGCATGTGGCAGCCAGTTTATTGAATCCCTCATCGGTGATATGAAAGCAATTGCTAATATCAACAGAGCGGGGCCTATTCCCAACGAATGGACATATGATTTTCACTAACACGTCATCGGTAATTTGTCGATTATACATGCTTAAGTTCAGATCATGCAGCAGATCTGTGGATGTATTGATGATCTCTGACCAATGTAGAGAGACTGCCCGTACTCGAAAAAGATGATGAAGGTCTAGATGGTTAAAAATCCTCACCAAGATATTGTCAGGGAAAACGCCGCGATTCACTTTGTGCGACTCGCGCTGCGTTTTGAGGGTTGTCGACACAGCAGCCTCGGGCAGGGTGAGAAACGACGAGCTTGTCGATCGTGGTTCAGATGGTGGTGACGGCCGTTGCTGTTCCCCGGAGACCTCCTCTGGCGTCAACGGAGCGACGGATCCGCGCCTACTTTTCAATCGGACCTTGTCTAAGCCGACATTGAGGAATGGATCTGGATCCGAGGGACGTAATACGGCTTGGTCATCTGCCTTGTTGGTATGCGGACCATCCAGTTCAGTTTCCGTGAGTGTGAGGAGGGGCATCGACCGGCGTCGCGAGGCGCTGACTTTAAAGTTGCTATCGCCAACGAATTGTCCAACACCATCCGCTTCAGCCATTACGACATCGCCATCAGCTGCCGATTGCAGCCGCTCTTTGGCAGTTTTCTCCACCTGCTCCCGAACATCATGGGGGCACTTCTCCCAAAACTCGGCAAGGACATCACCGCTAATCATAAGACACTCAACCGCGTTGATAGTACGTACTGTTGCAGTCCTGCGAGGCGCTAGAGAAAGACTTACAACCTCACCAAAGTACTGACCTGCTTTTAGCCGCGCTTTCACTTCAAAGCCCGGGTGTTCAATGGTGTTTGGCATGGAATGCGAGGCATCCTCTGAGTGTGTACGTTCCGTCAATACTTCAACTTCGCCACGAACGATAAAGTAGATCTCCCGGCCTTGGGAGTCCTGCTTGATAATGTCGGTGAACGGAGGATACGACCGGGGTTGGGCGTTAAGGCCTAAGAAATGAAGGATGTCCCCTGGAAGACCGGCGAATAGAGGTAGTTCTTTGAGTAAAAGACGCACGTTAACAAGTCCGTTGGCGAGTGCGCTCGAAGAAACTCCATCCGCTAACCCAGGGCTGGGAGATTTGCGTTTCTTGTTGACCGACTTCCAGTTCAACACCGTGCCCTCTTGCTCCGCAAGAGACATGTCCTTAGAGAAAGTTTCTCTCAGCCGTTTATTCCCTCTGCGAGATATAATATCATCCACTGGAGGCGCGGATGTCTCCTTCTTCTTCTTCTCCAAGAGCATCAGCCTTTCTTGGGCTTCATCTCGGATGGCTTGCTCCACATCTGGGAAGCGAGGCAGGATATTTCTAAAGTCTTCCTTCGTTAAGACGATCAGCAGACATCTGGAGCGAGCGATAATGGTGGCGGTCCGCGGACGATCCATCAGCACGCCTATTTCACCAAAGAAAGCGCCTGGCTCAAGATCTACATATACACTCTCGCCATCGCGCGAAGTAACGGAGACTGCACCCCGGACCAACCAATATATCGCCTTGGCCTCGTCCCCTTCCGTCAAAATATAATCATTGGCTTGATTGAGTTGGGGGCGCAGATGCCGTCCCACCGCGTTCAAAAAGGACTCCGGAGTAGACTGAAACAATGGGAACGAGCGCAATCGGTCGACCAGATCCAACGGAAGAGCTTGAATATGAGAGAAGGCTAAGGGGGAAGGGCGGACCGGGCGATTGGGATTCGTGACCGAGTCGAATGAATGGATTAACGAGACCGTATCAGACACCGGCGCGAGGGCTTTGGTCGAGCCTCCGCCGGACCTGCCATGGCGCCGCATGATGAACTAGTTGCGTTCCTCTTAGAAGCGTCAAACAGAATGGGGGATGGAGAGATGGAAAAAGTTCGGGAGTTTCCAGAGGTAGCATATAGTGTATATTTTTTTCCGGCAAGCAATCCACGGACCGATGACGTCGACGAGAATTGTTTGGGAGGGGATCACGGGAGAGCTTCAGAATGGCATCTTCGGTCCACGGGGAGGGCGGGGAGGAAAAGAACGGAACCGTTTCGTCGCTGGGGGAGGTTTAAAGAGAGCCAAATGAATTATCCGAGACCCCGGGGAGTTTGAGACGACAATAGGACACAAACCGAAAGTCCACGGAAATTCTGGAAGAGATAGCTAAAAGTGAACATAATGGTTAGAGAGAGAGCAACCCACAGACCAGACAGAGAGCTTTCCGCCGAATACTAATTCATGAAAGCGGGGAATGGGATCACCGAATAGATGCTGTGGTTGAGCTCCACCGCGAACTTGAACTTTCCGCCTACCAGCAAAATAAAAAGAACTAAACCAACTCGAGCCAAGTGGTGCCCGCCCGGCCTTATCAATTGGGATTCCCTCCGCTCTTTTGACGTGCTCTTGTGTTTGTACCCTCTGCTGTTCAGTGAGGATTCAACCCCACAAAAAAGAACCAGAAATCTATACCAATATTGATAGGCCCCGTAAAAGAAAAATAAAATAAAAAGAAAAGTAGAGGAGAAAACTAAAAGACTGGTGTGTTTCTTTTCCTTAGCATTGTATCCCCAGTCAGCGGAGATGGAGGGAGGTGTCGTGATAGGGAAAAGGAAAACCAGAACACATACATTTACGCGACGAAAGTTGAGCTGGTGTTAGTGGGGGGTCTTCACCACCGAAACAGAGACACTGATCCGCAATTATGGAGTCCCTTGACAAATCACCAGAATTTAAGAATATTTCTCTGGCTTGTGTCCCTCTCAATTGCAAACACTGAGTGAGGTAGTTAGTCTGATGTACCCAACAAACAATAAGAGCAGAAAACTGGATGAAGGGGAAGTAGGAGAGAACTGCAAAATTTTGGGTAGGGATGTTTATTAAACTTCAGCTGTACGCAGTAGGGAACAGGGAACAGGGAACTAGTACCACAGAGAGATACGTACATTTACAATCTACAGGTGTCGGTTGGGGCCAGTGAGAACAGATGCATGCTGAAGATCGTCACCCAACCCATAAAATCCCAAAAATCATTGGGCCATTTCGCTTATGCTGGCTTTACGTCGATTGAACAGCAGTTTGCTTGCTTTGCTTCCTGCATTTAAAGCATGCATCGCTAAGGATTAGTGGGAGGATCCTGTACAATCCCTACCACCTACGGAGCCTATTATGGGTTCTTCTGAAAATTAGTACATACCTTGTAGCTTGTGAGGTTATACCTGCAGTACAGTGATGCATATTATGCATATCGGCTCCTATACATTTCTCTACGCGTTTTATATTGATTTAATTCGATTTATTCTTACTTCTCCCTCTCCCAGTATATATTTCCAAAGGAACTCCCTCGCAAACCCTTTCCTCTCCCCTCAACTAAAGATTCATTTTTCCTCTTCCGAGTACTGTGGATTAAAATCCAATATGACAGCGGGACAACGCAGGGGCCACCCATTTCACCTGACATCCCATACAATTTATCATTGATACCTAAGGCAACGAAAGACCTTTTTATCTTTGGCAGTGATTGGTACACTGCTTCTCCTCAATTACTAGTAGTAGCTTCCACGCATTAGGTAGAGTAAGCTAGTAAGTCTGTTAGAAACAATATTGACACCGGGATTTAAGATCCGCTTTTCCCGTTCTCATTGAATCCCTGTTACGACAGACAATGCATGAATACAGCCTCATCGCTATGTCACTACAGACTCGGTCCGAAGGGTTATGGCAAAATCCCATCTCAGGAAGCGGCAGCGACTATCTGTGACGCGGCGAGAGCTAGGTGCGTATAGAGATGAGTGGAGAGTGTTCTGTTGGGCCGGTGCGAGGAGGCGGCGCTTGACCCAAAAGACCTTGCGGATTCGGGACCATTGCTTACAGCAGGTTTCCATACGGTTTTGTGGCCCCGTGGTAGACGGGGAGCACGTCAGCGTGTACCACATCCTATCGACTCTAGGCCAAGTAGGATAGCGGCACAAGAATCACGACTCGTTGGTCAAATACGTCGAATCCTCATTCCGTCTTCGATCGGCGATTTCCCAGAAGGAAATTAACGTATGCAGGACGGTTGCCCTTCAAAGATTCTAGAGCGTCCTGCATAAGTCCGTACACCAGACTCAGCTTCAGCCCAAGTTTTGTCGTGCGAGCAGCAGTGTAAACGTCGTGACGAGCTAAACACAGCCGATGTTTAGTACTTGCTTCTAGGTCAATTTGTAGCATCAACAAGAAACGAACCTAATAAACTGTAGATGCCAGAGAATGATAACCCAGCTGTCACTGTAGACAGGAAGTCTCTCCGGTCATGCCGGGCATAATCCACTGTTTCTTCGAAGAGACAGAACGCAAGTGCACCGAAGCCTAGTTTTAATCCCATTTTCATTCCCTCTTTGACTCCCCCAACAATTGCCGTGTAATTCTTCGTTTTGTGGTATTGGAACCATCCGGTCGATGTCGTAGGAAAGCGATGAGCGTTTTCGGCACGGAAGCGATATGCTGACTTTTTACTTCCGTGAGACGACCCGATGGCCATACCAACTGAGAAGGCCGACATGGCAGTGTAGGGTAGACGTCTTCCGACTTCAATTCCAAGTCTGGGGGGCGCATCCGATTCAAAGAGCTTATCCCAATGGAGTATCTCCATTAATGTTGTTGAGCCTCGCGGGTGCGCGTCTGACGATTGGTGAGAGTCCATGGTGACAAATGAACTCGACAAGGTTTTGTATTGTAGATGTGAATCGGGGATAGTGGGAGATAGTACAGGCTATAGAGCAGATAAGGCGTTTTTCAAATTCCAATGAAGCTGGCTCTCTGCGACAACATGGATTTGTATTGACTTTCCTGTTCTGTTTTCGGACCGACTTAGCGCCGTTCTTTGCTTGGGCTTTGGCTTAGGTAAGGCTAGCTTTAGGAGTTAACTCTGCCGAACGAAGTATACAAAAAATATATATATTATACCGATATCGAGATCAGAACTCGAAAAGTATTATGTGGTACTGCAACCGGTCATTCTAGGTGATGCCTTTGTCTTGAGTAGTCCATGTCTTGGAAGAAGGCTGCTTAGTGTAGGATTATTCTGATAACTACTGTATGATTGCGGAACAAATCAAGGAGCGTTAGGTGGTCACTGGTTAAGTAATTTGCTTACATTTTGGAGTGTTTTGATTAATTTACTTGTTAAGGATGCAGAAGTGGATATGGGATAGAGTGTAGTCAAAATAATAAGAAAGAAGGAATACATAAAGTAAGAATAATACTTAGTTATATACCCTCAAAAACGACGCAGAACGCAGGCTCATCTCAAAAGTAACACCATAAATAGATATATGTAACTATAGGTCGCTTTTCCCTTCAGTAAGACCAACCAATAAACCCCCAATAAGTATACTGTAAACTCTTCCTTTCCCTCCAATGTAGCCGCTACCATATCCAACAATCTGCGGTGTTTCAAACCCCCGACAGGCCGGGGTATCTGGCAGTTCCTCGTACCTTGCAATAATTTTAGAACAATGATGTATAGCTATTTTACGGGGTACAGGCCAGTTGGATGCTAAGCCTACTAATATATTCTCGGGCCAATAAACCATCAGTGTCTTAGTGTTCAGAAACACTCAAAGGCGGTCACGTGCTATCAATAAAGGCAACGGCACCCGTATCGGGAAACCAAAGAGGTCTTTTCAATTCACGTTTATCCTTTGCTTTAGAATTCGAGCCTGGGGTTACCTGGATTCTAATTTAAACAACTCAGGAGACAACTCAAAAACTGCGGGAAAAAGGAATTCCGGGGGCCTACTAAACTTATCAATCAACAACCAAATCAAAATTACATCATGGTAAGCTTGACTTAATGACTCGCTACCTGTGCGTGAAGAGTGAACACGATTTCGCTGACTTTCTATGGTGATATAGTCACAGCCTGATTCTCTAAGTTGGACGCTACTGTTCAAAAAGCACAAGATGACTGTGCTCCTGATGTTCCCACCTTCCGCAACGATTCCAACCGCCCAAGCTACACTTCTCCGAGCCCTTCAATCACGCGGTCTAACAGAAATCAATGGCGATCCGGTACCGGAAGACTCATCAGATATTGAATTTGGTATTGCAGTAGACAAAAATGATCTAGGAAAGGGTTGGACTAAACTTGAGTTTCAAACGCCGCAGTTCGATGAAGATGAAGCACCAAAACGAGGGGCGGGGAGGAGATCTGCAGCCCCTCTGAGCTTACAAGCGGCTGAAATTAGAAATGGACAGCCAGTTGCTTTCAGGTTTCGCAAGCGCGGAGATGAAACTGAAACGACTGATGAACTGATTGACCTCGAACTAGAGGATCCTGGTTGGGATGTTGTTCTTCCTAGTCTCGATGATGAAGAGGAGGAAAGTTAAAGTAGACCATATAATTTTCTATCTTGATGAGTATTTTGTTTTCATTGTATTCTCTTTATTCTATGGGTCTAGCGCAGGGCTGGGACGTGGTGCTATTAGACGGCGTTCATGATCTTTCACTGGGTGGCTGAGAATATACATTGACCTGACACGTACCCTTAGAATCATCTGTATACAAGCAGTCACAAGGAGAATTCGTGGCCAATATCCTGTACGGTCTGCGTATTCTCCCTAGTGCGTAGTCCTTGGTAGATCATGCCGTCGGTTTTGTCTATCTATTTCCTAATAAATGTGGAACTATACTCTTTCGGAGCCATGTTGGTGTGTTATACGTAACATACTCCGGAGAACGGTTGGATCGCCATTTAGTGGATCCTTGGGTGTCAATATGGGGTCAACTTCTAATCACCTAGAGAACTATCAACACCTACTATGTAGGTATAGAGGGGGACCCGCGGAGGGAACAAAGATGGCAAATGACGAGCACAAAGCACTAAAAATAGATCAAACAGGAAAATCATCTGTGTAACAAGCGCTATCTGATAAGAAAAGGGATCTGGGGTTCTTCAATCGACTGTTACCGACGAGGTATTCTTAATCAAACGGAGTTGGACTATGAAATTGATTAGAATCGAGCGGCTTGGATTGCAAGGGATAGCTCCAAGTAAGATCGGACCAATCAGGATTAACATAGTGCGTTGTGTTAGAAAGCTTAGTGTGTGGTGTTAGTGGTTGACCGCAGGCAAGTGCCAGAACTTTCCATGGTTCTAGGTTAAGCCAAGGAACACAGACATGCTATGAGCACGCACTAGCAGTCGTCCGGGGCAACGGCGAGTTGACACAACAAGCCCCCGTGTCAACAGTCCCTCCAGTGGCTTGAAGCTCACACTAGCACCTCAGCGTAACTCAACAGGGGAAATTCTGGGGCTGTCGGGAAATAGGTCCACAGTCAACATTCTTCGTCGATGAGCTCCGTTCTTCAATTTCTTATCTCTTCGTCGCCTCATCCTTGTTTCGACACGCCGTCGGTGTAGGGCGTCGCTGGATATTTCGACAACTGCCCTCCCCGCGCCGATAATCTCGACCTGAGACTCACTTTCCGCTTGGAGGGAGGTAACACCACTTTCATATTCGATAAACAACAATATGGCGATTCCAAGTGACGCTTCGTCTATCACCGTTGCAGTTAGAGTGAGGCCTTTCACGATCAGGGAGGCGGCACAGATCTCTAAATGTGAAGATGGCCCTCTCTTTCTTGGAGATGGCTCTTTGGCTGGAGCGCCAACACCAAAACTCAACCAGAAGGGTATTCGATCAATTATCAAGGTTATCGATGATAGGTGCTTGTGAGTGCAGTGCAAATATCTCTCCGTTCCTTGCAATCATTGACCGATTTCACTCAGAGTCTTCGACCCTCCGGAAGACAGCCCGGTACAGAAGTTCTCGAAAAGTGTTGTCCCCAACGGCAAACGCGTTAAAGACCAGACATTCGCCTTCGACCGTATCTTTGACCAGAATGCCTCCCAAGGAGAGGTGTATGAAGCGACAACACGCACGCTCCTTGACAGTGTTCTTGATGGATACAACGCCACAGTCTTCGCATATGGTGCGACCGGATGTGGAAAGACCCATACAATTACTGGAACGGCCCAGCAGCCTGGTATAATCTTCATGACTATGCAAGAGTTGTTTGAACGTATCGACGAAAGATCGGGAGAGAAGGCGACAGAAATTTCTCTCTCGTACCTGGAAATCTACAACGAAACCATCCGTGACCTCCTTGTCCCTGGTGGTAGCAAAGGAGGCTTAATGCTGCGGGAAGACTCGAATAAATCGGTTTCAGTATCTGGGCTGTCAAGCCACCACCCCCAAAGTGTGCAGCAGGTGATGGATATGATCATGAAGGGTAACGAATGTCGCACGATGTCCCCGACAGAGGCCAACGCCACCTCTTCACGGTCACATGCAGTTCTCCAAATCAATGTTGCCCAAAAGGATCGCAACGCTGATGTCAATGAACCTCACACAATGGCAACACTGAGCATAATTGATCTTGCTGGTAGTGAGCGTGCAAGTGCCACGAAGAACAGAGGCGAGAGGTTGTTCGAAGGTGCGAATATTAACAAATCGCTCCTCGCGTTGGGTAGCTGCATCAATGCCCTCTGTGACCCTCGGAAACGAAACCATGTTCCATACAGAAATTCGAAGCTCACTCGGCTCTTAAAGTTCTCTTTGGGTGGCAACTGCAAAACAGTGATGATTGTCTGTGTTAGTCCCTCCAGCCAGCATTTCGACGAGACCCAAAACACACTGCGTTATGCCAACAGAGCGAAGAATATCCAAACCAAAGTTACGAGGAATGTATTCAACGTCAATCGTCACGTTAAAGACTTCCTGGTGAAGATCGATGAACAAATGAATCTGATTAACGAACTTAAAGCTCAACAGAAAGACTACGAGAGAATCGCTTTCGCGAAATTTAAGAAGCAGACGGAAAAGAAAGACGCAGTGGTTCGCGAAGGAATCTCTCGTATCCGGAATGCTTATGAACACTCATTGCCCGAGAGGCAGGAAAGGACCGCCCACATGATTAAATCAAGACAGGTTAGCCGCAGGATCGGTATGCTGTCTTCGTGGATTGCTGCTTTCGACAGTGTATGCGCAAATTCCGAGAATGAGGAGCCCTTAGCGAATCTCCAAGCTATTCGCAGAACGGCACAAGGTGTTCTCCTTGAGTTGGAGAGTAGTAGGCAGCACTACCACCAACGCCTGGCTAGGAGCACTTGGGACAGAGGTATCAACTCGGCCGTTGAGCACGCCGTTCGTCAACTCCAAGACTTTGGAATCAACGATAACAGTGACCTTGCCAACCTTCATCGCGAAGCAGAGCTCCTGAAATCAAACGCAGAGCGTGATGCTTTTTCGGCGGTAGCAGAACAAGAGAAGGCAGGGGAAGCGGAAACTGTACAGCTGCTGCTTCAGGCTCAATTCGAGGCCATATCTGCAATTGAGGGTATTATGAAAATGAGTGAAGACGAAGCTGTTGAGGCGGGCAAGAGTGTTCTTTCCAAGATGCTCGACTCGTGCTCTACTGTAACATCAAGTCTTGTAAAACTAGATGGCAGCTTGCCGTCAGCTCAGACATTCAGCCCTTCTAAGGCCATGTCGCCTAAGCCAAAGAAGAGAGTGAGTCTTGCAGCACTCCCTGCTGGCAAGACTCTCGCTGCACCTATAAGCTTGGCACCGACAGCACCTGCCTCGCCCGGCAAGGGGTCGCCCCGACGCCGTAGGTTGGGTGCTGGCCGGAAGAGCGTCACATTCTCACCCAAGAAGTCTCAGGCCAAGTCAACGAAACGAAGCGTACGTTGGAAGGATGACGAGCAAGACGGTTCTTTGGCCGAGTTTCAGAAGACGCCGCAAAAGCCGCGGGCGCAACTTTTCCCCGAAGGACCCCAAGGCAGTCCATATGAGCCTCCATTGCCTAGAACGTCACCCGTCCCGCGTGGCATTCCAGTGCCCAGTCGGAATATCAGTCCTTCGTATGGTTCTTCACCAGTACCTGCCCCGCCGGAGCCAACATTGCATGTCCCAAAGAACAACCGATTCAAAGCCGGCTTCCTCTCCAAGAAAACTAGCGGCTCACCAATTGCGCCTCCTCCTTCGACCTCGCTTCCTGCCTCAGACGGTGAACATTCTCCCCTCCGCAACATCGAGAACAGCAGCTTTCTGAACCGCGCATCGGTTGACCGTCCCTCTAGGATCGCGGTTCGTACTTCGAGTGGAAGCTACACCAACAGTCCCGCATCGGACAATAAGGAAAGCTGGAAGGCAAACAAAGACGACGCCATCCGGATCAATTCGGCGATGAGGCGCATTTCCGGTGGATATTTTGGCGCTGGTGCTTCTGCCAATTCTCTTCGGGTTCACCGTCGCCGGAGTCCGGGGTCTGCAGCCTATGGCAGCTCTCCACCTGAAAACACTATGTTCACCGCGCAGGCAAGGAGAATGGCCAAGGGTGAGAAGGAGCACGAGGCCAAACCGGGCGTTTTGGGACCCCGAACTCTTCCCATAATGAAGAATACAGGACGACGGACCACTTTTGGAGGGGAAGTCCGGCCCCGAGACATTAGTCTCACCAGCAGGGACGCTATTCGACTCAGCGCTATGGCAACCCCCAATCTCCAAAGGCCCTCGGAGAGCCTCCTCTATTCAAACTCTGGAGCAGGATTGAGGTGAATTTAATTGCTGATTCAGGGCTGTTTACATTACATTCGGGTTGGGGGGTGTGTTTTACCAATACTTGGGAACGGTGTTTCGGAGAATAGATACCATTTGCTTTTTCTTAACTTATATTTTCGACGCCAACCATGAGGTCCGGTATCCGGGTTATACCGTTCTCCTCGTTCTGTTGCGCTGAGAACTTCACCAAATGATTTGGAAACATGCTGGAGCTTAACTTTCTATTCGGTGTTCAATTTTTTTTTCTTTCTCTTTTTCTGTCTCTTCTATGTGTATGGCATATAATGTTTCCGGAACGTGTACAATATCAGATGCGTCGTGTGAAAGGGTTTTTATACAATACGAAGCCAAGGCTGTTGTCTCTACTTTAATCTATTTTCGGTCTCGAGTTCGGTACTGAGAGATTCTAAATTAAAATTAAAACTACTAGTCCGTAGCCAGCCATTATGTCATTGCGCGAAATGACGCCACTGCAGAAACTCCTCCGCAATCTGACAAATAAAGGAATGCATACCATAGTAAGAAGTCCGATTTCCCACCCTCAACATATTTCCTTCTAGTTCCAATGACTAATTAATTATCTAGACTGGTGCTGCTCGAAGCTACCTGGTTACTCACAAAACTAAGATTGAACCTGACAAGTTCAATTTAAACGTGACAGTTGGCTAAATTGTCGCAATAAATTGGCCGGTACCCCTCAGCGGAAACCCTTGAGGCAAATTGATTTGCGAAGCAAATTAACTGTTCGAGTATCACGTAAAAAATCAGTTGAATGGCTTTCGCCGCACCCGCGATTGGCTCGACCTTATTTTCAAGAATTTTCCGTCCGTTCTCCACCAGCGCTCCATTTCTCTCTTTAACACCTGAATCTGCATCGCGCAACATGTCCAACAACACGCAAATCGCCACTCTGGCAGCTGGATGCTTCTGGGGCGTCGAGCATCTGTTCCGCAAGAACTTTGGTAATGGCAAAGGTCTCCTAGATGCAAAGGTTGGTTATTGCGGTGGATCGACGGCGTCGCCCTCGTATCGGGCTGTGTGCACCGGAGATACCGGCCGTAAGTATTAATATCTATACTTCGTTACAACCTATGTTCCTGAAGCTAATCGAGGATGATTTTCTCTTTGCTATATGCTAGATGCCGAAGCGGTGCAGGTGACGTTTGATCCCTCCATCGTTACCTACCGTTCTCTTCTGGAATTCTTCTACCGCATGCACGACCCCACCACTTTGAACCGCCAGGGACCCGATATCGGCACTCAGTACCGTGGCGTCATCTTCACTCACGGAGACGAGCAAGAGAAGATCGCCAAGGATGTATCAGAGAAGGTGAGCCAGGAGTGGTACAAACAGCCTCTCTCCACGGTCATTGTGCCTGCTGGTCAATGGTGGGATGCGGAGGAGTACCACCAGCTCTATCTGAACAAGAACCCAACGGGCTATGAATGTCCTGCTCAGTATGTTATGAACCGATCTCTGAAATAGGATTTCTTCTCTTGTTAGGGCGAGTCAAGAGCTAATGTTTCGCGCAGCTTCGTGAGACAGTTTCCGCCTCTTTCCGCCTGACTGGAGGTGAAGATATGAGATATGAATTTCGAAAATATGTCAACCTTGATGGTCTTGAGATGGTCCGGCTAAACTGGTGTCATCGCTGGGATGTTTTACAAGATAACTGCTTTGTAAAAAGGCGCAGTTTGCACAGGACAAGCTTGTTCGTTTCTGGCATGTATATTGATGGGACCCGAGATGTGTACTATACATCTTTCAAATGTCATTCAGATGTCTCACAAGGGTGTTTCCATGTTGATTTCATGGTATCCTGATTTTCTCCACAGAGTTATGTACGAAGGGGGGGGGGTGTCTCCTAGTATCATATGGCAGTGTGCTGAACTGAATACTAAACACAAGTCCTACCCTACAGTAAAGAAAGACAACCGTACATAGAAGAAGAGGTATTATCAAGTCAATGATTTATTCTAAGGATATAACACAACACATCATTCTGACTACCATTGAAGCGGGTGAGAAATATGTGAAGTTCGTTATATAGCAGGCAATGGCTTTCCTGTGGTTGTCTTCTTTGTTTACTACGATATCAATTCACTCATTCAAGTATGGGCTCAGGTGACAACTCCCCTCTGTCCCAATGCAGACACGCTGCGTTCTCTCTCTTTTCTTTCCGCCATCACTCCCTACTTCTTCCTCTCCCATCCTTTCTCAAGGATTCGCCTCTCTTCCTTCCCCCATCAATCATCGCTCACTCCCTGTTTCTTCGATTGTTAGTACTGTCCAGAGTTCTCTACAGAAGTGTGGTCTGTCAAAAGCATTTGCTCAATGTTCTAGCAGTCTAATAGACTGGCGACAACAGAGCTGTGAGTTTTGAGCAGAAAGGCTGTTTGACGCACTTTCTGTAGCGGACTGACTGACTGTATCCCACATCCTTCCAATCCACCACCTACCCGCGGCAACTGCCTTCTTGGGGTTTCTCATCGCCATCAGTGCCTTTGTTTCTATACCTACCAATTTGCCACACTATCTCCCGCAAGTATTTCCTCGACGTGTGCTCAACCTGAAGGCCAGTCGACAGAGCCTCAGGGAGGCTTTGAACGGTATGAGACTCCATGGACCTCGTCGTACCCGCGCGTATCCATCACTGATACTGACCGCGCTGGTAAGGAGCCCTCAGATACTCTTCCACGAACACGAGTGCCTTCCAGGGCACTATCTTATCTATTGAGGAGGTTAGTAGCAGCGGCTCCGTTATACCAGGTTGGGTCCCGTCATGATGGCAAGCCACTCTGTTGAAGCAGCCATGGCTGAGGCCCTGGGTCATCTTAACCGCATCGCATGTCATGTAAGCGTCTCTCACACCACGGAGGAAATTATGGAAGCCACTACTGATTGAACAAGTTCCGCAAGCACGAGCAGCACAATGCTGCAAATGAGATTGGCAAACTGAGCATTATGATTGTCAATGTCTTCTCCGAAGCTGTTGAGCATATTCCCACTAACGAATTCGCCGATGTGGTAAGCTGCTCTATCAACATCCTGACACAGGATTAGCCTCAGTAACAGAAGCAGGCTACAAACTGCCAGAACACCGTGAGTAGTCACAATATGATTCAGCAACAAGCTGTCGTGGCTCTCATGAACGAGGTCGAGAAGGGAAAAGACAGCTTCACCTGTCACACCAGCGTCTTGCAGAACATTCCGTCTGACGCCCAGCTCCCAACGACTGGAAGCTGGGCTCAGGTCGCTGGTTCTACCTCAAGCCTCCCAGCCCAACCTCAAGGGGTGGGCCATTTCATGGCTCCGTTGCCCATGGGGCCGGCCTCTCTGTCCAAGCAGAGCTCGAACAATGACGAGAATGGCGATACGAGAATGTCAGGAATCTCGGACGTCGCACTTTCTGCACCCATGTTTCCAGAAATCCCAGAGGCCAAGGCAGGAGTCCTTCGTATTTATGGCAAAACCTCCAAAGAGATCATTCAGTATCTTACTACCCGTATCCATGAGGGTCCATTGCAGGACATTCGACTTGAAACCAACGGAAGGACGCGAGTGACCTTCCAGCATGCGTCTCAGGCGCTTGCTTTCCTGAAGTCTAACCAGGAGATGGAGCAAATGCTTGGCTACGGGCGTTTTGGATGCGGCTACCGCGTTGAATTGGTTGAGATTATTGATTGGAACGACGACCACCGTCGGATGAACCAGCCCATCCGAGAGCGTCGTCGTCTGTCATTCGCAAGAAAGCGGCTCTTCGCCGACAATATGTCGCCAGAAAAATGGAAGCAGGACATCCGTACTTTGGCTGGACCAGGGAATATTGATTTCCTCTGGGTCTTCAATTCTGGTAATGGTGAGTTAGTAGCACAAAAACTATGGGTCTCCTATAGACTAAATCCCAGCTAATTGGGCGGTAGCAACGGCTGTCTTCACGAGCACAACCGTTGCTCGCAAGGTTTTGGAGGTGTTCAACCGATGGAAGGACGGCCGAAATGTCTACAGTGGGGTTTCCGTGACCTACTCGTCGGACCCATGCGAGAAAGAGTTAGTTTTGGTCAAAGACACCGCTCGCCCCAACATTGCCAAGAATTTTGTGAAAAGACCCATTCGATAGATGCAGGGCTGCCGTTGAACGGATGGGCAGTGCTTCGAGCCACTGTTTCATCTCAACTGCTTTAAAATGACATCACATCAAGTCAGGCGCGCGGAGAAATTTAAAGGGCGGAAGATTTCCAATTCTTTTCTTTTTTTTTTTAAAAAGAAAAAAAAAAAAAAAAAGGAAAGAAGAAGGAAAGAAGGGGAAAAATATAAAGGTAAGGGAAAGCAAAGGGATAATCAACAAGGGTGAACTGTTTGCGGGGTGTTGGAATTTTGTGGAATGTTGTCCAGGCGATTCGAGCAACGTGGTAAAGGTACCATATGATCTGAGCCGTAGCAAATAGAATGGAAGCACGAGTGGGATTGTACGCATGTACGGAAATGTCAGGTTGTGTTTAGATGTGGCCTCCTGTGAACGAGTTCTGTTTTGGCCACTTGTGGTCCGACTGGCCTTGCACGCATGCAAAGGGCTGGTCTCAACATGACTCACCATAGGGATGATTCGAACCTTCTGCCTTGAGCAACGTCAGCTGTAGTTAGTTGATAGTCCAAAACATACGGGGGAGGGGTTGCCAGTGAGATATCAATAATGGCTTTCGAGGGCCTCTGGTAGGCACTCGAGTCATGATAACTCATAGAAACCAAATACCATCCCAGTCTGCATTACTGATGTGATATGAACCTTCGCCGCCCTTTGAATTTAGTCCCAGTGCGTCGTCATCTGAAAGACCCTCCTATTCAAACAAGTGACAGGCCATCGTATGTACACGGGACAAATGTCCCTTGCAGCAGTGAGCATTATTGCTGATATAGACCGAAAACGGCATTGATGCCAGGGGAACGCGATTAGATAAGTCACAAATTTCCTTTGTTTGTTTATTTATTATTGGGGAATTGCCGTAAACAGAAAAATAGCAGAAGAGCCGTCAAGTGCACGAATATTTCAGAAATGAAGCACGGAATTGAGGGATAGAGAGAGAGAGATAAGCGCGCATACACACACATACCCATGATGTCAGAGCAGATCAAGGCCGGGAAAGTTTGTCTTGTTTATCGCTGTCAACATTGCTGGATGATAGAATTAGCCATCTTAGAGCCCTGACTGACCCGTCCATGCATGTATCTACTATCGTATGTATGGATGCTAATGTAGGTACATACATACATGCGGGAGTTAGTCTATGCATCAGAAGCTACCCCTGTTGGGCAGGTGGAAAAAGGAGAATGTCACTGGTCGCTGGGAGCAGCTATCAAACCCAATAAAGTTCAGTAGAGCAGGCTATCATTGCTGCAATCAATGGGCTAAGAGTGCCAAGTTAACTTCCTGACTATTACCCCATTATTAGCGAACCACCAGTGGTATTGAGTAAGAAAAATCTCAGTTCTGTCGTTTCTTCCTTTCCTTTTTTTTTTATTATTATTGTTTCTTTTTATTTTCACTCACTCTCTCACACTTTCTCTTTCCTATAATTTCAAATTTTGTATTTTATTTATACATATTAAAAAACTCCCATGGCGCATTCGGGTTGCATAAAAACCCGGCAAACTTAGTTTCGTTATCTTTCGGTCCGAATGAACGACATATTCTAAACATAATCTATTTGAGTAGCTGTCAGCTGAAACCAGCGGAGTTTAGTAGACAATGGCTTCCTTTTCAGAAAAGATTTGCCTCCGAACGACGTCACACATTCCAACGGTATGTGAACATGTCCGGAGAAATTTCCTAAAAGAATCCTAATTATAGAATTAAGTGGATTTTTTTTTTCTATTTTTTCTTTTCTTTTTCCTCAATCTCTTCTCTCGCTATGGGAGACAGACATTTTTTCTTATCTAACACAGCTGAATGACCAAGAACACCAAGAGTCACCGAAGATTGGAGTCCCGGTCATAAATAGTCGGGAGAACCGTTAGGCTTCCTTGATTGGGAGGGTGTTCCACTGTGGTAGCTGGAGTAGGTGGTGCTCTCGGGATCATCAGTTCCCCTCCCCCCTATCTATCGAAAACCTCGGTGCACGGTTAGACGGTGGAGAGGTCAAACAAGAAAAATTGCCGCAGATTAAAATTAATTATTGAGATAGATTAATGTGGTTGCAGTGTATCTTGATACTACGGAGTACGTATCTTTGGGACGGAGGATGAAATCGTCATGTCTCTCAAGAGGGAGGGGATTATAGGGATCAGGTGATATCGATGCCCTGATTCGAATCGAGTTGCCTTAAGACAAAAGATCCACGCGCCCTGCGTTGGGGAAACTGTCATTGGCCCTGAAGGGGTTCCAGGGAACCAACGACGGTGATTGGAGTAAGACATGTTTAATTTGTGAGCAGAAGAATCACTATGGAAGCCAGGTGAATGTTAGTGTCCACAAACTACTACGAGTAGTGTGGCTGTCTTGTCCGGACCTGCCAATCGGCAGCTTTTTCCCGATAAGAAGGATAACTCCCATTGAGTTTTTCCCATGGCAGTGGGTCCGTTCCTGGGAAGGGTTCAAGTGCGAGGTTCAAACTCAGGGCTTTCTTTCTTTCTTTCTTTTTCTTTTTTTTTTTTTTCTTTTATTTATTTATTTATTTTTATTTTTCAATTTCTTTCTTTTGTTGGTATGCACGGGACTGGAGACAAGAACAATCTAACCTTCGTCAATGACCTTGGAGTACCGTACGTATCGTCAGTACCGTATGTATGTAATGTTCAAATCCAGGTTCCCAACTGACGATTCCGGAGACTCAGAGTCAAAGGTTGACCTTCAACTTGTTATCTCTGGGGAACATTCCGATGACTGCACAGAATAGTTTCTTATTCTTTTTGAAATAGAACTGTCAATATCTAGAAAAATAAGTAATTGTCAGAAGAGGCAGAAGTGTGACATCGTCTGGACATCTTTTTTGGGATCAATTCCTTGGTGTGAAGAGTAGGTAATTAAGTAGGACTAATCCGGTGGCCGTGCCACCCATCAATCGTGGGGAAAGGTTCATCGTCTCGTGGTTCCTCCGTATTAATGGAAACGGCGATTACTTTACCCTTGTAGTACGTGCAATACAAGTGCAAAGTCACTGACTAGTGAGTGACATTGGATTCATTTAAAGAACTTCCACCCCCGATCGACCTCTCTAGGAAAATTGCCCCCTCCTCGTCTTCCTCCCTCTCCCTCTCCCTATTTTTCGCTGGCCCTTTCTTGTCTTCAAGGATCCTTACTTGTTGACTCGTTTGGTGTTAAATCCCCCTTCAACGAGGACCCACGGAGATCTCGTTCGTTACCAGTTTCCCTCGTTTACTGACTCCTTTCCTCCTCTCGGCGGCGATTTTGTCCCGCGGTCCTTCATTAACTGGCGTGCCCGTTGATTGGGTCTTGATTCTCATATATTGTCCAATAATTAGTGGTCCTGCGACAGGTTCTTATTTAATTGATTCCTCTCTCGCTCTCTTTTCGGTAGGTTCACTCGTTTTTTCCATCTTTTTTTTTTGTTGTTTTTTTCCTTTTTCCCCTGGAGTTCGATCTATATCTTCTGATACCGATAAGGTCCGGTGTCGAGGGGGAAAAAAAGCAAAGGAAATTGTCAATCAGACTGGTGGCTAACGCCCACATCTTAGTGCCAGCTGCAGTCTCCTGTATAAACGTCACACATCACTGCACATTCCCTTGTCACAGTACTTATATTATCGACATTATGGTTCGCATTGTTTCTTCTCTGCTCCTGGCCTCTTTGGCCTCCACATTCGCTTGGGCCGACACTATCAAGTGCGACGCTAATAACAAATGTCCGGAGAAATACCCTTGCTGCTCGCGTGAGTTCTCTTCCCTATTCGAACACAGTGTAACGCTCGTGCTAACGTTTCTCCGTTAGAATATGGTGAGTGCGGAACTGGCGCTTACTGTCTCGGCGGCTGTGATCCCATGCAGTCGTTCAGTCTTGACTCCTGCATGGCCGCGCCGGTTTGCAAAAGCAAGACCTACAAGTGGGACAACCTCGACAGTGCTGCGCTGAACACCAAGTATCTTGGCAACGCATCGGCGTCCGATTGGGTCTACAGCGGTTTCCCCAAGGTTGAGGATGGCAACCTGATCCTCACCATGCCCAAGAACAGCGTGGGTACTTTGTTCGCAAACAACCACTACGTCTGGTATGGTAAGATCAAGGGGAAGGTAAAGAGTAGCCGTGGCAAAGGTGTCGTGTCTGCTTTTATCCTGCTTTCGGACGTCAAGGACGAAATTGATTTTGAGTTTGTCGGCTACGACTTGGATAACGTTCAAACCAATTACTACTGGCAGGGCGTTCTGGACTGTGAGTGAGATTCGTCTGCCCCAACTGGGGAATAGCTGACACTGACGCTGACGCTTTTGCTTAGACAACAATGGCGGAAAGGCTCCCACGGGCAGCAGCACTTTCGACGACTGGCATGAGTATGAAATTGACTGGAAGCCCGATGCCATCACCTGGTCAGTCGACGGAAATGTCAAGCGGACGTTGACCCGGGAATCAACCTGGAATGAGACCGCCAAACGCTACCAATTCCCTCAGACCCCATCGAGAATGCAGTTGTCTCTGTGGCCCGCCGGTCAGGCAAGCAACGCTGAAGGTACCATTGAGTGGGCCGGTGGTGAGATTGACTGGGACAGCGAGGACATCAAGGACAAGGGTTACTACTATGCGGAATTCGGAGAGATCACCGTTGAGTGCTATGATCCTCCGTCAAACTCGGGAGATGGCAAGAAATCGTACATCCTTACCAACAAGGACGGCCTGGAAGGCTCCTTCAAGCTCACCAACAACGACACTGTGCTCGCCTCTCTTGGCGCTACCGGTCTCGACCCCGATCTCGGCGCCAGCACCTCTTCGTCTTCGTCTTCGAGCTCGACCACTGGCAACAGCGTTCCTGAAAACCGCGGTGGCTCTGGTAACGAGCCTGGTGTAGGTGGCTCTAACAGCACCGGCACCGGCAGCAGTGGCAGTGGCAGTGGCAGCAGTGATTCTGGATTCAGCCAGGGGAGCAACGATGACAGCAACGACAGCAATAACTCGAATGGCGCCGCCTCAGCGAACGAGCGTGTCATGAAGGGTTCCTTCTTCGCAGTCTTGGTCGCAGTCGTCGTGCTGGTTGCTCTATGAACCAGTGATTAACAAATTTGGGCCCTTGCCTTCATTCTTGAATATTCTTCTCTTTTTTCTTGGGTATATAACACTTACCCCCCTCCCTTCTCCCATACCCACGTGGTTTTGGTGTTTGTCCTTTTAAATTTACCTTCTTTACATGGCAGTCCCTCACTCTTCTTGTCTGTCGCCTTATACCAGTTAACTACTTTATTCTGATTGGATGTCCTAATGCTTTTAATGATCGCGCGTGGCGATGCCGCAAACGGCGCATTGCATGCCGTTTGATACTCATTCTAATACCCTTGTTTGCGTTTTGATGCTAGTATATGTATTTTTAATTGATTGGCTCGTGTGGATGAGTATCGTATCAATGAATATAAATTTTTTCACAGCATTCTACTTTTGCTGTAGTCCATCTGCATGTTTCATATGCATTGTTGTTCATTCTGTATATTTCCTTTCAACGGCAACACTGCTTTCACCAAGCTCTTTCAGAACCCCCTTATTCCTGACTACAACAACGAAACCACAATGCCAACTCAATGTACCCCTACACCCAAGATGAACACAATCCATCCAATTCCAAATAACCCACGTAAAGGCACAAGAAAAGCCATACCGACTAAGTTAAAAACTTCAAATACAAGCTGAATCCCACTCAATCTCACCCAAAACCCTCTACATCTCCTAAACTCCCCACATTCTATACCTGATATTCACCATCCAAGCAACCCAAGCAACAGAACCATCAACAAACAAAACCAAACACCACCACCACCAACCAACCAATAACAAAAACAGCAATCACAGTATCCCTCTCCTCTTCCCCCCCAAAAAAAGGGAAAAAAGGAAAGGAAGAAAAATGTGCTACTATATCAAAATCACCTACCTGGACTGTCCGCACACCAAGTTCGAAATCGATCAATTGTGTTATCACGTCCTGGAACAGCTTCAGCGGATTTATGATTCTCAGGAATCTGAAAATAGTGTCCCTTTTAATGTCCCCGATTGTTGTCCTGACGGAGTTGATTGGGTAAATGGGGGGAATATAAGGGGTGAGAGGGTGGATGAGGGTGGGTGTTTCGAGTGTTTGGGGGGTTGGTAAATTGGGATTTTTATCTTCTTCTTTAGTTAGTTGGTATGCGTGTTTCCCCGTCTTTCCTTGTGGTGGGGGGAGGGGGTTTTGGGTGTGGTTTTGGAGGTTGTTAGGGTTTGCTTATAGATTGGTGTTGGCCGGCGTTTTGTTGTTAGGGTTGATTTGTCATAGAGATGTATACTGCGGACTTATTGGATACCAAACTATTGTTGATCCTTATCAGTTATAATGAGCTCGTTATATCAAACTACAATCATGGACATATCAATCCGTTCACACAATTTCACAAAGCAGTACATCTATAGCAGAAGCCAAAACCAACATATATAGAATCATAGATTAAGCCTAGAACGCCAATTCCAAGAATGCTAGATGGTCTGTGGTATCTCAATGCAGCTCGCCACAGCCACATTCCCTCGTATCCAAGTCCATGGAGCGCTTCTTGAATTCTCCATGGTAGGTATCCAAGCCATCGGTGCGGACGGTTTCGCCCAAGGGGTCTCCCAACCAGCTGAGAGATGCGAAGGTGGACGGTTCAACTTCAGGCTTCCATGCCCACTCGCTAGGAGTTTGGAGTCGCCGGGTGACTTCTTCCACGTCTACTTCGAGGTAGTCGGAGAGGAAGGCACCGACGTCTGTGTTCTCGTTGTTGCCCACCAGACGCCAGGCGTCCTTCGTCGAAGAGGCATAGATGTTCACGTCGACGGCTAAACCATGGGTTGTTAGCTTGTACGTCTACTACCGAGAAGAGAGGGGGAGGGGAACATACCTGAATGTCCATGCGTGGACCAGCCGATCTGCGCCCTACGGCTGATGATATCGGCAAAAACGTAGTCTTTAGTATAAGGCAGTTTGGGATCAAGAAGATGGTCGATTTCCGCATCCGTCGCATCGAAAACGCCCAGGGATTTCTCCAACAATTCGCGAGCGAATTTGCGCTGAGACTTGGCATCCGTATTCTTGGAGAGGTATTCCCTGAGTGCTGCGCCGGCAAACTCAGAGGAATGGCTGGCGTTAGCTAAGACGCCTGGCAGCCATTTGTACTCCGGATAAGCGTCATGCAGCTGTCGGGCCGCAGCCAGACCGCCCGTTTCGTGGTCGGAGGTACTGACTACCACTCCTGGGGTAGAGTCTTGCTCCAGGAACTCAAGGACGGCTGCGAAGGCCCGGTCGTAGGCTAGGACTTCGTGGACCTGTGCCGCGGGATCGTTTCCGTGTCCGGCGTGGTCGATGCGGGAGCCCTCGATCAAAATGAAGAAGCCCTTGTCGCTGTCTGCGGTGGCTTGGCTGAGGGTTTTGAGTGCGGTACGGGTCATTTCTTCCAGGGATGGGTATACACCGTCCTGGCTGCGACGGTCGATTTCATAGGGGATGTCCTTCTCCGCGAAGAGACCCAAGAGCGGCAGCTTGGCTTCCGAGCCGCCGTTCAGGGCATCGAAGGCCTTCCGGTCGTTCAGATAGTGGAAGCCCTTTTGGCTTGCGATCTCTACTAAGTCCCGGTCATCGCCACGGCAGCTGCCTTCCGTTGTATTGGGGAGGAAATGGCAGCGTCCACCACCGAACATCAAATCCACTACATGGCCTAGCGGGTGTTCGCCGATCTCCTGCTCCGCAATTCGATCCTCATATTGGCGAAGGTTGACATGCGAAGCAAAACAGGCAGGGGTAGCATCCGTAATCCGAGTGGTGACGACCAAGCCGGTCTTATAGCCAGCCAAGGCAGCAGCCTCAAGCACAGTTCCACAAGGCGAGTGGTCAGGCAGGACGGAGATAGCTCCATTGTAGCTCTTCTGGGCGCACGAGAAGGCAGTAGCACCGGCCGCCGAATCGGTGACAAGGCTGTTGCTGGACCTCGTTCGGGAAGTACCAATGATGTGGTCATCCAGCACGAGAGTCTGGTCCACGGGCAGTCCCTCCGTGAACTGTCTGTAGTTTCTAGTCATAGTCAAACTAGTGGGTCCCATTCCATCGGAGACCATGAAGATCAAGTTCCGCTTTCCGGTCGGCTTGCCTCCGGGGCCCCAGGGTTGCTTTGCGTTATGGTTTTTACTCGTTTCATGTTGGTAAACTACGGCGAGGACTATCACGGCGATGGTAGCAATGAATGCCCAGGAGAAGAGACCGACGTCTTTCCAGAAGGCCCATTTGCTGCGTTGCTGTTCGCGGTGAGTGCGCTCGCCTGTTAGTAAGGCATCCTCTTCTTCTGCATTCCGAATCGAGGAATGGTCGGAGGAAGGGCGCGGAGCCAAAAGGGGCTCTTCTCGCGCCATGGCTGACGGATTGCCTTCAAAGATCGACTTAGATGCTTAATTGTAATGGGGCGGGATCACAGGCATCGGATAGAGAGGTGTTATGGGAATGAGGAGAAAGGGAGACGGTGAGGAGAGATCGATTCAGGTGAGTTGGGGTATGGGCTTGGCACGGGGCTTTTGATACGTCACGTTGCCCAGGGGGCCCTGAAGTTGCCGTATGCAGTTAGTCTCCTCTGCATAGTCGAACTATTGGTAGATCATTCCGGAGTACTCTGTAGATGCGGGAAACTCATCATGAGTGTAGACTATACTCTGCACATGGCATATAATATTACACAATTCCAAAGTTTGATATAGTTGTACAAGATTCCTCCGACGAAGAGCATCTACCGTCCCTTCCACCCAATCGGAATCATAGCCGCCGCGATCTCAGACACTCCTCTTTCAGTCGCAAGCAGATTGAACTGCGCAGCGGCATTCCTAGTATCCAGAACCTCAACACGAACACCCAAGGCATTGATTCGTCTCCTGGTCTCAGGGGAAAGAGGAAATACAGAAGCGCCCATACCAATAATCAAGAGGTCTGCCCGTAGCATTCAGTTAGCAAAAGCCTCCCTCAAGATGATCAGAAAGAGAAAAAATAAAACCTACCCGGGCGAGGCCACACGAGTCCCAAAAGACCCCAAGCTTGTTCGTCAACCTCAAACTGGCCTTTCTCGTTCACCATGGCATTCTTTTCCCCACCCGTCGCTGTCCACGGCCTCCATGAGAAAGCTTCGCCCCCAACAAGCAACAAACCATCGCCGTTTGTGAGCTTGAGGCCATTATCCAAATGGAATCCATTGTCTAGACAAGCATCAATCGCGGTAGTAGGTGCGGGGATATTTCCGAGCACGTTCAGCGCAGCAAAGTCCGTTTGCGTATCTTCTGTTGACTGCGGGCCCCGATCGCGGCTCGCTGGCTTCGCGGTGTGTGCGCGAGGTACCATCCGTACGGGGCGGGCATGGCTGCTGTTATTGCGGTACGTTTGTATGTAGGGGGTGATTCGAGAGATGGGAGATACCCAACGGGCGTTCGCGCAAAGTTGGTTGGTAACCTTGGGAGCCGAGATGGACGTGCGCAAAGCGCGGAGTAATTGGGGTGATGGAGGGTGCATCGTGACGATGATGTGGATGTAATTTACTCCTCGGAAATAAGTAGTATTGACTTGTCGAGTTCGGGACCTAGTCAAAGGGATCCTGTCAAAGGGATCGAGAGTAAAGTAATACGAGTGGAGATGGAGATTTAATCTGGAGTTGCGATGATCGATGGCCCGTGATGTAAACGATACCTAAGAGCCTCAGGCAACAATGCTGAGTAAGACTTAGCAATATCGGCTATCATTGGTCCATTCAACTCAAGTAGATCCAGTGACGTTATTTACATCTACCTCCCTTATCCTTCAACATTGCACGTTGAAAGTTAGGATAGCGGAGTGCAACACGCTATCAAGTACATATATTGGCAAGCACTCACTGTACTAAGTCGGACTAGTTCCGGATGGGATACTACCATCTAAATCTAAAAGCAGATACCTTTGTATCGTCAAATCACAAAGGTTAACAAATAACACTAGTATGTAGTTATAGGAACTGTTTCACTCTTTCCTTGAGCCTATTATTGCAATGCTGCCGTAGAAGCTCCGCCTCCTGTTTGAATGTCCAGTCATATATCTGGTCATCTCTGAACCCTTCACGCCGAAACAGTCTACGGAAAATCTCACGCAGATAGGCGTAGTCAGGCGTCGCCTTCAAAAAGACATGCAGGAAGTATAGATTGAACGCAGGCGGCAGGCCTTTGCAAAGCTTTTCGACCCGTATATTGCGCTTCATCTCAGCCACGGCTATTTGTCTCTCCAAGTCTGTACCAGTTGCTGCCCAGAACCTCTCCCACGGAAGGTGGCCGTTGAGGAGGCGAATGAGCACATATCCTAGGCTTTCCATGTCATCGCGGGGGGATTGTTCTATATCTGATTAGCAATCTCGTCTCAAATATACAACAGAAGGGAAAGAGCGAAAGAGAAAAGAAACGTACGCTTCGCATAATGCGCCCGCCAACCTGCATATACCTCTGTCCCCTGCAAACCCACGCCAACCCCTGGATTCCTTTGGCATTCACGCCTATCTTGACGCTCCCTCTTCAAAATCTGATGGTCGCTCAGTGCACTATACCTCTTGACTAAGCCTAAATCCGCCACATAGACCCTGTTCGCCTTCCTCCCAACTCCTATAAGAAGGTTTTCTGGCTTAATATCACGATGGACACAGTTTCTCGAGTGAAGCTCCTGAAACCGACATATCAACTGATCTGCTAGTAAGAGTACAGTCTTCAGGGAGAACCTGCGCCCACAGTCGCGCCACAAATGGCCCAGGCTGGGCCCCAGGAGTTCAATGGCTGTGGCATGGTATCGTTGATCTTGTCCTGCCCAGTAGAACTTCGGGACTCCCATGAGTCCGGCCAGGTAGCGATACCCACTGACCTCACGATGATACGATCTGTAGCCTGCTGGCTCATGATAGAGCTTTATGGCTAGTTCTTTGCCGGTTTGGTGATCTCTGGCTTGGAGAGCTATCAGGTCTGTAGGTCTCGACCTTTGTTGAGCTGGGCCGTACCTATGTATACACTGCCTTCGCCGCCACTATCTATAGGGCGGATTAGCTCGAACCTGTTATTTATGAACTTTTTCTGCGGTGGAGCCCATGTTAGGAGGAATTATTGGATGTGGAAAGGCTGACATACCACTGGCAGCGGTTTCATAGTGGAGGCTTGATAGGCCCTTGCATGGTTTGGTTTAGGTGGGAGATAGGGCTGGGTACAGTATTTAAATTATACCTAGCATCTCTTCGGGACTATATCTCTTTGTTGAAAAAAAAAAAAAGAATGGGTTTGTTCTCATGGAATGGACCTGTTCCTTCTTTATAGCGTTGGTGCTTGACTGACTCAAAGAGCAATGATCTGTCTACTATTCCTATGGTCCTACAGGACAAGCGTGCACAAGTATAAGAAGAAATTGGCAAATACCGGGGGCAAACAGGTTCATATCGATTGCAGCCGGAAGAAGTCGACGAAGGAACTCTCAGTACCAGCCTGAACAATCTATAAGGATGCATGATCCATTCAACGAGCGGTCTTCTATTGCAACTCACTGCAAGCCAGCAGCTTCATATCATAGACGCAATGCATAACCCCTGGTGCATAAGTCTTGACCTGTTCGACATGTCGACATTCGGCCAAAGCAACAGCAGGATCCTGCATCCTAAGAGCTTTAGCCCGCAACCTCCCAATCTCCAGAGTGAAATCCCCTTTCTTCTGCTTGATCTCGCGGACGTCCACATTCTCATGCATATGGACCCAACCGCCCAACTCCGCATCAATCATCCTGCACGCATTCCCCCATGCATCCACAGACGTCGGAAGAAGCCCTAAGTTAACATGACGAATGCGATTCCATTTCTCCTTCCCTTCCATCACACCACGAATCTCCCCCAAAATATCCGCCGCAAACCGATTGTCTCCATGAAAGAGGACCACACGATCTGTATCCTTCAAGCTGCCCACCAAGTCCAGCAAACTCTCACTCAACCCTCCATCCTCGCGGACTCTAACAACCCTACACCCCCAGCCATTCTCCTCACACCCTCGTCGAAGCCCCTCAACCGACCACCCATTGATTTCCCACCCCCAAACCCGCCTCACCCCCCGTTTTAAATACGAAAACACAAAATACCCAATCCCAGCATACATATCAACAACGCCCACATCTGAAAGAGCCTGCCCGCCCAACTCGCCCACTTCCAGTCCCTCAAACGGCGCCGCCCCATGGCCCAAAACCCGCGCTTTCTCAGTAATGTTCCCGCGCGAGAACATCGTATAAAGCGGCGCCCAGACCTGCACAATCCCATGGTTCTGCATCGTGCGCACCCAGAATGCCCGTTCCAGGTCCTCGTCGCTCGGTTGGCCCTCTTCGCCAGCGAAAACAGAAGAAGAAGCAGTACTAACAGCAGCAGCAGGAGGAGGTCCAAAGTCGCCGTACAGCGGGATAAGGCCCGCGGGACTGCGCATGCGGTTCTCGTGGCCTTGTGTGTCTGTTAGCGCAATGGGCGCGTTGATGGCAATGTGCGTTACGCCCATGCGGCTGAAGGCCTTCACGAGCGAGGCGTAGAGGGCCTGTTGCTGCGGGGCTGTTAGAGATTGGTACAGGGCGCCCCAGGCTGAAGGGCTGCTGAAGGCATTCACGGGGAGGAGGAGCATGGGCTCATAGACTGTGAAGCGTTTTGGGAGACTTGATTGTAGGGTCTCTGGTGAGAGGCCATATTGGGAAAGTGTTTCTGGGGGGATGTTGTTTGTCACAAAGTCTTGGATGCCGATTTGAAGTGGGTTGCAGGATTTCTGGAGTGGTTTTTTGCTGCCTTTTTCATGGCGGGTGGGCTTTTTGGTGGTGGGGAGCTGTGATAGGGGTGTTGTTGTTGCTGTTTCTTGATTCATTTTTGACATTGGTGTTGGGTTGGGTATTGGGAGTTGGTGGGATTTGTATGTAGTAGTATTGGATGTATAGTTTTCTTTTTTTATATGCAATTATGATTCTTGTGGTTGCATTTTGTGTCTGGGTTTATATATCGTTGGTATCCAGTGGATATATGACTTGGTCAGCAGGCACAATTTCTCCGCAAATAGGCTGATAACTCTGCAGATTTGCGATATTATAGTCGCTGTCTTATTGTCTCTATTGTATAGTCGAGTTCGGTGGACTTTGTTAATTTTCACAAATATCGTCAATTTTTGATGATATTTTCCACTTTTGACTACCTGTGTCATGTGACTGGCATCTACAATGCGGCCTAGAAGGAGCGATAGAAATATTTACGTATATGTCCTCTTCTAATATCTTGTTTACTTGGTGGGCTTACGCCCCAGGATTTGGGGAAGGATGGTTGATATCATAGATCCTTGATACGCCTTTGCGTCAAAAACCACTATGCATTCTTGAAATGCGCATATAGTACAACGTGCGAAGTTCTTGTAGAACTTACACGAGACCCTCTACTGAAACAGAATGATGTTAATGCTTGGATCTTCGTCTTCATATTAGGATATATTGAAAATGTGACGTGAAAGTAGTATGGTACTGGAGATAGTCCATGAGATGGCTGGGAATAACAGAAAGTAGGTAGAAACAGCCAATGCTAAGAGAAAATACATTGGATGCCTCAAACTGGGGAAGGAGAAGGGATGCGTGACTAGATGATTGATTAATTAAAGAGAGTAGATAAAAATCAAACCCGCTGTTGTCAACTATGGTTATAAGGCACTACACCAGAATGAGTCGTAACGAACGTAAGCTCTTAGTAAATAATATGGGGAAAGACGGTCAATAATCCGTCACGGAGTATCCTAACCTATCATTTGCGTCAAGTACTCTGGAATTCAAATTAGCACTGTCAATGAGGACCAAGCAACAAGGAGTACTTACGAGTATTGCTTGGTTAGGGTTCCTTCTCCTCCTTTCGAAAGGTCGATGCTAAAAACGTAGAAATTGCCGTCGCTGGTCACCACCATCACTTGTGGCGTGTTGTTGCTCATTGCTACAACGCTTCGCAGGGGTCCGGTGTTGCCATTACCCCCGGGACCGGGATTCGACTTCGGAAGTTTGATCCAGGCAAAGTCTCGCGCTGGTTCCCACATCTCACTAACACCTTTCGGAAGATAACCACCCACCTTGGCAGCAAATGAGCTTCCGACAGTTTGTGAGGTTCGCCGGATCATGCCCATTAGAGTGCCATTGTGTTTCCTGGAAGAGAATTCGGAGGAGTCTTTGTCACCACTTGTTTCATCCTCATCCGGAGAGTTGCTCAGAGAGCTCTGGCTCATGGTTCTTTGTGGCGCCGAAGGGGATGCCAGAGAATTTTCCGAAGATTGGCCTTGACTCAACTTGAACAGATGTATAGTCTCGGTGGAGGATGAGACGCAAAGGAGGGTGGAGGTCGTGTTGAACGACATGCTGTAGATCCTGGAAGGTATCGAGCCTCGCCTGAATTGATATAACTTGTGACCGTCAGGAACGGAGAAGACCCGAATGATAGTCCCTTTATCAGAAGCGGTAGCTATCAGAGTACCATCACTGTTGAGCGTTATGCATGCTAGTGGAGATCGATGGGCTTCTATGACATTGATTGCTTCTAGCTTCAGTGTATCGAATATCAGTACTTCGCCGCTCGTAGGTGAAATATGTGTGTTCCCGGGAGGCGCGTGGGACGGAGGAGTAAAGGATGCAGGCGGAGCCTTATGTGGAAGAGGGTATGCGAGATAGCAATTATCGGAGGAGGGAGACAGAGCACAGATTGCTGTGAGATGTTAGAATTAAGGCCAAATCAAAGATGGTCAAGAATATAAGCCCTTACCACTTGGATTTGGAGATGTCTCGATGGTATATAGCAGCTTCATGGTCTGGATGTCATAGAGATAGATCTGGTCTTCTAGAACGATGACGAGCCGTTTCCGGTTTAATTTAACCGCCAGGACAGTGGTGGGAAACGTCAACTCGCATATTGTGGATTGGCGCTATAAGAACCCAGGAGATGTCAGAATAGATTCTTAAGGACATGTAGAGTCACAGGCAGTGAAACGCATTAAAGGCTGGATGGTTCAAATGACTCGATTCTTCATACGGGAGGCGATACGGCCCTTGATTTGCATGCGCAAGGATTCTACGAACCTTTGTATTAGTGATTTGTAAGCGACGTGGTGAGAGAATTAACGCGACTAAAGATGTCGAAAATAGCATCTCGATTATAGCAATGTTCCCTTCCTTGGTTTCATAGCTCTTGGCGAAAGGGTCTGTTGTGAATATGCGAAACCCCTTGGCAGTCGCTGCAAGCCGTTAAGAAACATCCTGGGAAAGAATGAAATGACTTAAGGGAAGTCCTTACCCACAGCCAAGTAGCTGTAGTCCTGGTTGAAGGTCACGAAGTTCATTGCCATCTTGTCTGGAGGCGATCGAGTGGAGCGATGACGTCCAATCCAGGTCTCTTCTCTAAAGTGTACTGTAGAGTTGGAAAAGCGACAAAAACAGTATATATATCTTCCAGAGCTTAACAAAGTCGAGCAGCGAGACCGCGCTTCCTTTATGGAATCAATAAAACTTATTGTTCTTTGAGCGGAGGGGTACAACCGATCCCATCACAGGGCAGCTTCACGTCACAGACGATCGTCGCCGGACATCTCTCGTTCTCAAACGGCGTTCGCGACAAAGCTCCACTGTGAGTTATTCCCTACAGGGCAAGTACGCACGGATGCGATCGTCGCTGGACGAAGAAGACGTTGGGAAACGAGCAGGTAAGTTGACCGCGGAGTGTCCGGGGATCGCTGAACAGCAGTTCGTTCTGCCGCGGTCTGAATGCGTCAGGCGTCAGGCGCGGCAAGCGAGCCGTTCATCGGACGCTCGGGCCACATCTTGTTCTTCGGTGGGTAAAAAAAATACTAAAGGGCGGGTGCTATTCAACCCACAGAACAAATCTATGCAACTTCCCTCTTCACAGTCCAGAGAAGGTCATTGCAATATGGGACCTGCAAAGAAACCAGCCATGGCTGGAGTCAACTCTAAGGCTGAGAGGGAAGCCGACTTGGTTATGGGGGTGAGTTTATATTAATTGTTGCGGCGCTGCGCACATCCCCACCAGTTGCTTGCTTAGTCTTTATCTGCGCCTAACTATACTAGACAAATAACAGCAGTATTGTCTCCAAACGGAGCGTCGAAATGCTTTACTACCCCAAGCCTCATTTCTTTCGCTATTTCGTCAAGAAACCTCAAAGACGGTCGCCTTTGATCAACCGCGGATATTGGCTGCGCATGCATGCGATGGCGGAGACAGTGCGCAAGTTTATGAGAGAGCCATCGGACAAGCCTAAATTTGTCTTGAATCTGGGATGTGGATTGTGAGTCGTAGAAAAGCTCCCGGGAAGTCGGCCGATCAAAAAGGGGACCGTATGCTAAGTTAGATTATCGTAGTGATCCGCTCCCATATATGCTTCTCAGTGCCGACAACGACCTGTGTAGAGACACGACCTTTGTGGATATCGATTACGAGAAGCTCATGGTTAATAAGAAGACGGCTATTCGCAAGGCCGACGAGATAACACAACTACTTGAGGATGTAGAATTCCTGCCCGACGATAGTGCCGTGCAAATTCGCAGCAAGCACTATCTAGCCGTTGGGTGCGACCTGAAAAACCTCACTAAGTTGGATAACGTGCTTAGAGCAGAAGTCCTGCCTTCTGAATGCGCGGTTCTTTTCCTGGCCGAAGTCTCTCTGACGTATATGGACGTCAAGTCCGCCAATGCGGTTGTCAGCTGGGCTTCAAGGCTAAGCAATGGTCAGAATTACCCCTGTACATACTTGTCTGAACGTTATCGATTAATGAATGCTGACATTGTAAGTGAAGATGCTCAGTTCTGTATACTGGAACAATTCTTCCCTGATGGCCCAGACCATCCTTTCGCTTCGACCATGATGAAACATTTTAAAAAGCTTGGTGCACCCTTATACTCGATTCACGAATATCCCTCCCTGAACGAACAGGAACAGCGCTTTAAAGACGCTGGCTGGAACCACGCGCATGCTAGAAGTCTCTGGGACTTATGGTCGGACGATGAATTCGTGGACGGTTCGTTGAGAGCGTCACTTGATGCCATTGAGCCTTTTGATGAGTGGGAAGAGTTTGCACTTTTTGGGTCTCATTATTTCCTTCTGCACGCCTCCACTAGGCCTCGAGTCTCGGGTAAGGCCACAAGAACAGCAACCGGGCTTGATCCGCAGACGGATAAATCTGATCATTTCAGATTGCTCGCCGAATGTCCCCCTGGAAGTGGTCAAAGACGGTTCGGAGCTGTTATTCCTGACAGCGATAAGACTGTTGGGCATCACTCTGGCCTCGGTCGGCAGACTCGTTTATCATCAACAGAACTATACACCAAGTCAGAGGGTACCGCCAAAACTCATGAGTTCCCTCCCGAAGACATCCCTGCACGGATGTGCCATACAGTGACTGGCTTAAGCAACCAGGATTGTCTTTTAGTTGGAGGCAGAGCTTCACCGGCATCAGGGTTCAAGGATTGTTGGGTAAGGCAAGGGAATCAGTGGCGCTCGACTATGAGCCTTCCGACCCCCCGATTCAGACATAGTGCTGTCAAAGTTACTCTTGATACTGAATATGTTCTCGTATACGGAGGTAAGACGAGCGATGGCACAACATTAAACACGTGGTTGGCGTGGAGCAGCAAACAACAAGGCTGGCAACAAGTTGAGACCAACGTAATCAATATCAAGGCTCGATTTGGGGCTTGTCTGGGAAGCATTGACGACACTTCAGGCGTACTCTTTGGAGGAATCGGGGCCGAGGGAACTATTTTAGGGGATTTCTTCACATGGAAGTTGCACCAGCGGAGCGATGGGTCTTTATTCATGGAGCTGACCGACCACACTGAGGAC